AGAGTATTTCAAAAAATATAAATTCTCCACAAGTAGAAGGTAATATTTTGTAGATATGACTCTAAGGACAATTCTATTAATCTTATTAAGCCCTACATGATGTTTGATTTTGATTAGAACACACAGGTAATATGAACATCTGCTTTTTCAATAAAAGAAAAAGACTAAAACTTCTTAAAGAACCTTCAAGGAGAAACAGTATAGTATAATATTTCAGAACCAGATTGCCTGGGATCCTCATCTGTAAAAATAACGAGAACCCATCATATAAGTTTTATGAAGTTTAATTTAATTAATATAAAACACTTAGAATAGTGCTTGGTCACGTACTACTATCTAAATCACTGATTCTCAACAAATGGTGGTTCCAACATGAGCAGGACATTTTTATTATTCTAATAAGTGGGATGATACAGGCATTTAGTGGAGAAACAGGGACGCTAGACATGCTCTATGACTTTTGAATGTCCCAGTGAAATTTAGAAATAGCTCAAAATGTGGGCACATTTCAAGATAGGAGGTATGTTTTTTGCAGTCTTTGTTAGTACTCCATCCTCAGGCATAATGGTGAATTTTGATAATATCTACTATATATGAACACTGGCTGATTTGTAGAGTACTATCCTTCCTATAATTTGTTTTGTCCTGTTATCTCTGTTTTGATTAACATTATTTCCCTTTTTCATTTACCACATTTAGGTTTTTAAAAAAAAAATGTTTTTATTGATTTTTAGAGAGAGGAAGGGAGAAGGGGAGACAGAAACATCGATGAGAGGAACATCATTGATTGGCTGCCTCCTGCACACCCCCCACTGGGGATCGAGCCTGCAACCTGGGCATGTGACCCAACTGGGAATTGAACCAGTGACCTATTGGTTTCCTGGTCCATGCTCAACTGCTGAGCCACACTGGCTGGGCACCAAATTTAGTTTTTTTGTTACGATGGACATGATTTTTTATCCTAATAACAAGTTCTACCCATGGCTATGACACTGCAGAATTCCAGATGGCACTATTTACATTGTGCTCTATGCAAACCATAGTCCTGAAATTGTGCGACTTGGCAGTCTTGCTTCTGCCTTACATTTTTTCTGTTATCTTATTTTTAGGATATTCTAATTTATTCGTTGTAAAACAGGACAAAGACTGTCTCACTATGCCTTATGTCTTCTTAAATATTTTAGTGTATATACACTGAGTGGCCAGATTATTGTGATCTCTGAACGCATAATAATCTGGCCACTCTGTGTACTCATGTATAAGGAAAAGCTTGCAAATCTTGATAGGTCAAGGGACCAGGAGATAGTGGCCTCCAGTCTCTGGCTTGTAAGTTCTCTCTGCTTCTTTCTAACTACCCACAATGCAGTTCTTATACATTAAAAAACCTTAATTTAAAATCCCAACTCTGTGGTCAGTCTACACTGAGTGGCCAGCTTATTATGCGTTCAGAGATCATAATAATCTGGCCACTTAGTGTATAATATAGTTTAGTATTTAAAAAAATTTATTCACTTATTTTACTCATTTATCTTACCATTTAAACCATTTTAAAATATATAATTTAAGGGCTCTTAACTTAGCTCCAGAACATCTTTATTATCCCAAAAGAAAACACCATACCCGCTTGGCAGTCACATCTATTCTCTCCTGCACCATTATCTGTTTTGTTGTTATGGATTTGCTTATTCTGTAAATTTTATATAAATGGAATCATAGAATATTTTATATTTAGCTTCTTTAATGTTTTTAAGTTTTATCCATGTTGTAATAGATATGGGTATATATATATATATATATATATATATATATGTGTGTGTGTGTGTGTGTGTGTGTATATATATGTGTGTGTGTGTATATATATATATATATATATATATATATATACTCTCTTCAATCATTTTTATAGCGGAATAATACTTCAATGACATACCACATTTTGTTTATCCAATTATTCACTGATGGACATTTGGGTATTTCTACCTTTTGGCTATTGTGAATAGTACTGCTAAGAACATTCCTTTACAAGTTTTTTTTTGAACATCTGTTTTTAATTCTTTTGGGTATGTACCTATACCTAGGAGTAGAATTGGTGGGCCACATGCTTAGGCTTTTGAGGAGCTGCCAAACTGTTTACCACAGTGGCTACTTGCTGACCTTCAGTCTAGTTATTCTATTTAGCATTTCTATTTTAAACACTCACCTGCATATAAAACTACTCCCAAGATGACATAGGCTCTGACTATGATTAGGTAAGGATTTCTCCTCTAACATGCAGACTGAGACTGTAAGAGACATTATTTTGTTGAGGTTGTTTTTGTTAATCCTCACCATAAGATTATTTTCTGCATTGACTTTTAGGGGGAGACAGAGAAACATCAATATGAGAGAGACACATTGGTTGGTTGCCTCCTACATGTGCCCGACTAGGGCCAGGGATCAAGCCTGCACCCCAGGTATTGGATGACCGGAATCAAACCCAGGATCCTGCACTGTGCAGGCTGACGCACCAACCACTGAGTTAAATCAGCTAGGGCAGGAGGCATTACTTTAGTGCAGTGATAGGAATGATTCCTGGAATGAAAATGGCTATTTCCTCTGCCATATTGCATAGTTGCCATTTGGCTGGTGTTCTTTCCTTGTAACTTGGCAATTCTATACTTTGAGTAAATGTAGATAGTTGTACTGAAACCATTTTCTATTGTAGTTTGTCCCGTCAGAATATTTTCTTTCCTTTGTTACTGTCACAGTGTATGACACTTCTCTTCCTTACTTTAAACATCTTGACTTACTTGTATTTTCTATTTCTTTTAAAAATCTTAATTATATTGCTTACCTTTTGGCCCAAGAAGTTTGACTTCAATAGCCAATCAGGACTGTCCTTTACTTCTAGTTGGCAAACTAAGTAATGGATTCTAAATTTAGCTCCCGGGCTACTGATAAAATGATTTTATCAACCACCAAATCTTAGTGGCTTACAAAAACAAGCATACATTTCTTGCTCCTGGATCTGTGGGAAACTTTATTTCATAATACCAGAGGGGTCCATATCTGCTCTATATGTTTCTCTTCTAAGGCCAGTAGCTACCTAGGACATCTCATCTCATAGTAAAGTGAGAGGACAGAGGGCAAGACAAACCAAATTAAACATCTGAAGTGTCTGCTTGTGTCAGACCTGCTGATATTACATTGACCTAAACAAGTCACATGGGTAAACCCGATAGAATGGGAAAAATCTCCTCCTTCCATGGAGGCGGAAAAGGAGAGCAAGTATTTGCTGAACAATAACACCATAAACCACAGCCCAGCAAAATAAGACAATTAGGGGCAACATAATGAGTTTTCAAAAAGTTAAATTTATTAAGTTTAACTTCACTTTGAAGTTAAGCCTTTTGTCCTTTTTAAAGTAATAATTTTCTTTCTTTCATAAAATTATAGTAATTGAAGTCAGTAGAGCTTTAAAAATTCTTATCACTTAACAAAATAAAAAGTTGGAAACCCTATGTCAGTCCCCCAAAATTTTAGGACAATTTTACTAGTCCAAAAAAACCTCAAAGTCTACAAGAAAAAAAACACACACAACACTCACAGACCACTGAATGTAATCCCAGGTCTGTCTGGCTCTTATTCACTATTCAGAGGCTACTCCTTGGCCTGCAAAGACACTCATTTTCTCCCTTCTCAGGTGTCATTACCCCAAGTGCTTGTGATTAGGAAAGTCTAGTTTTAGTGAACTAAAATGTCACTACTTATTTCTAGTGATCTAACTTTTATCTTAAAAATAGTTCTATTTACTCTTCAGGTCTATATATAAACTTGGTTTTATAATACTTGGGCTCATGTACTAGTAAATCTTTCTATCTCTGACGTGAAAATTTTAAAAGGCAGAACATAAAGAATAACGTCCTATGACTCTAACTTTAAAAAGATGAGCTGTTAGAAAGATTAAAATTTAAAAAGTAGATAGTGGCTTTACTTCCAATGTGAAATGACGCATATTTAATAGTTTTGCCTGTGCACAAGTGTTTATAAATACTACTGATTTTGTCACAGCTTGATCAAATATTAAAACTATGCAAAACAGCAGCACAATGTGTTTTTCTCTCTCACAGTGCTGTTGAAAGAATGAAGCAATTGGCACTCCTGTAATGACTGATTCACTCATTTCACTCCTGCCTCCACAGCCTTTTTCCACCTCCTACTCTGGCTCTTCGTCTTGTTTTTTAACTTGTGGTATTCTCCAGCTTTAGTCATTATTAAAATGCTATAGCTGCCGAAACCAGTTTGGCTCAGTGGTAGAGTGTCAGTCTGCGGTCTGAAAGGTCCCGGGTTCGATTCCGGTCAAGGGCATGTACCTTGGTTGTGGGCACATCCCCCGTGGGGGGTGTGCAAGAGGCAGCTGGTCAATGTTTCTCTCTCATTGACCTTTCTTGCTCTCTAGCTCTCTCCCTTCCTCTCTGTGAAAAATCAATAAAATATATTTTAAAAAATAAAATAAAATAAAAAGTATAATACATAGCTACCTGTGGTGGGATGGAAGAATGTGACACTGAAATGTGCTATATATACAGAAAAGCTTATAGAGAGAATTTCAAATTTGTCAAAACACGAATTTCCCATGAGTCTTGCTTTAGTGAATGAAATTCACATTAAATGACTTACCAGACAGGATCTGTGAAATAATGTCCCAATATGGCAACTGCCTTTTATTATCCTACTGATCTTGTCCATATTTGGAAAATTTGATCTTATATATTTAGATTTCATAAATGGTCGGATATAAAATAACAGGCACCCATGAATCAGTAAGGGAAGTTTCCAAAATTGGGATGAGAACTTAACTCACCAGTTTTGAAACTCACATTTGTGTCATACCTACAATTTATTTAAATGAAGTATCTGTTTCTGGAGTATCTATAGAAGTTATATTTTCTCTAATTTTAAAAATGCAATTCTTATTAAAGTAAAAATTTTAAAATGTGCTTGTATCATAAGCAACATACCTGCAGGTATGATCATCACTCACACTTGCAATTCCGTGGCCTTCTTTGGGGTCAAACACCAAACCATTAATGAAATCTGAATGGCCTTCTAAAATCTGACACAAGGGGAAAAATTAATAAGAACACAGGAAAAAGAAATCTACATTATTCCTACCTAATTTTTTTCTTCACTGCCTTAAAAGCTTTCACTGCATGCTTCTCTTTTCCATAAATATTTCTTAGCAATCTGCTATTTTTAAAGCATGATTTATACACCCACTTTTCTGAAGGTTTTTCTTGGAAAGAAGCTGATTATTCAACACACTGCTATTAGCTTAATCTTTCTTTTCTAGTATGCATTTCTTATAAAAACACCACTTTTTTTTTCTCTGTACCTGTCCTCATATCACCTCCTCTCTCACTTATTACATAAAGTTTAAATAAAAATTAAAGCTGGAACTTCCTAGGGGCACTGAGTTAAGAGTCGCCCTCAACTATTTACTTCATACCTACTGTCTGCACACCTATTGCTGCCTAATAAACATACAGTATAACCTTCACCTTTTCAGGTCTTTATCCACTTCTTCAATGTGACTTGTCCGCACTGGAGATAGCCAGTATTTACGAGCTCATAGTCACAACAACCCACAAATTTGTTTCTGGCTACAGAAGGTGCAAGGTGGAAGACTATGTGAGCCAGTAAGTTTCAATATTTTAATGACTATTGTTCTTCCTTCCTCGATGCATTTCAAAAGCTCACATTTGCTCTTAGTAATAGAGTGCTTCTATTTTAAACTGTTATTTAGAAATATATCATGAAGAAAAAATTTTGATTTAAATATTCTTGTGTAACTTTTACAAACTCAAATCCTCTACACATTCTTCAAAGCTTATGCTACAGTATACAAGACAAACTAAATTAATATTAAATTTTAATGTCTATTAATCCTAGTACATTAACTTTTTTTATTCCTCACCTTACCTGAAGATATGTTTTTACTGATTTTTGAGAAAGACAGAGAGAAAGAGAGGCAGAGAGAAAGAGAAACATCTATGTGAGAGAGAAACATTGATCAGTTGCCTCCCATATGTACCCTGACAAGGATTGATCCCAAAAGCCAGGATGCTCCAATCAACTGGGCCATACCGGCCAGGGCCCACTTTTGTTTCGTGGTGAGAACATTTAAGGTCTACCCTTAACAACTTTCAAGTACATAATACAAAATTGTTAACTATACTCACCATAATATACACTAGTCCCAGAACTTACTCATCTTATAATTTCTAGTTCCTAGAAATTATTCAGCTTATGATTTGAAGTTTGTACCTTTAAACCATCTTGTCCACATTTCCCCTACTCCCCAGCCTGATTTTTACTGCAATTCTACCCTCTGTTTCTATGAGTTACGCTTTTTAAAATTCCACATTTAAGTGAAATCATGCATTCCAGTTGATCCCTGAATAATGTGGAGGTTAGGAGTGCTAATCCCTTGAGCAGTCAAAAATCTTGACTCCCAAAAAACTTAACTACCTCAGTATCTATTGGGAGTTATTGAAGGTTGGTTCCAGGACCCCCTGTGGATACAAAAATCTGAAAATGCTCAAGTCCTCTAATAAAATGACATAGGTCAGTGCAAATAGTTGGCCCTGCACATCAGTGCACCCCCAACTGTGGATTGAAAATGGTACAGATATTTATTGAAAAAAAGCCATGTATAAGTGGATTTGTGCAGTTCAAGGGTCAACTGTACTTGTCTTTCTCTGTCTGACTTTAGAGAACTATTTCTTATAACAATAGAAAATACAGGCTTACAGTGTACAAAGCACTGTTCTAAGTGTTTTATACAAATTAGTCCATAATTCTATGAAGCAGATGCTATGATTATTCCTATTTTACAGATAAGGAAATAAGTACAGAGTCTGGAAAGATGACCAAAGTCATACTCTTATTAAAGTGGCAGAGTTGGGCTTCAAACAAAGGCAGTTTGGCCCTGTGTCTGTGCTCTTAACAAATTTGTAACCCTGCCTTGCACTATGTTGTAATGACTGTTTCTTTAAAGTTTGACTGGTATACTATGTGTGCTCATGTCCATTATACTCCTATTATATACCAACTGTGAATTTTGAATTCTCCCTCATTTGCTGTGCCAACCTAATATTTTAATTTAATAAGTGATATCAGATTAATATTCTGCAGTCTTTACTAAGAACCTAGATACTTAGCCTAAAATAAACAAGACCCATACTTTAAAGATGATCATAAAAAGTCATCTTAAATTAGGATAAATCCAATTTAAAAAAGCAAGAAATGTTTTAAAATAAGCTGCAAATTTAGAAATTATACTTGTTAAGCATACCTTGTATTCATTTTTATCTTGAAGATCTGATGTAAACAATCTAATTTTCATATCAGTAGCTGAAGTACAAAATCTGGAAGCAAAAGAAAAAAAACAACAAACCTACTTTTAGCCACTGTAAATGCAAGTTCTCATCCAAATTCCCTCCAGTCACCAAAGCTATTTTCTTGCTTTCTTTTGGGCAGAAGTGTATGTGGTGACTTTGTTATAAAAAATGTTATACAGCCATTATTGAAAGCAAAAGGTACTTAAATTAAAGAAAACACACAAAGTTTAGTATATTCTTGATCTGTCTTTTCAAAAACAAAAGTGTACAGTTTTATTATAAATCAACATACCAATTTAACTTTTAACTTTTTTTTGAGAATAAAAAGATTGATTTAAAAAGTATCCTCATTTTAGCTAGGTAATATTAGACATTAAAAACATCAGTCTTTGGCTTCTTCAGCTATCGATAAGCCTTCTTACGTTTTCTAGCCCTCTAAATAAATTAAATCAGTTCTGACTACATTAAAGTTAAGCATTTTTTCCCCTCAGCTATAAACTTATTCAATAACATTCTAATAAAAAAAAAGCAAGGCTCCTAATGTGTTGGTACATGTGACCATCTCTTCTCAGTGATTGGGGAGGGGCATACAGAAGGCCTCAGTGATATGCAGGGTGGAACAAAAGTAGGTTTTCAGTTGTGAGTATAAGAAACACAGAATTTATTCTTGTATTTTTATTTATTAATTATTGTATTGTTTTCCATCCAAAGAACTATAAACCTATTTTTACCCCACCCTGCACATATCTCTTTTTGGCATGGATGCTATATTTCATATATACAAATAGTAGGTAAGAAAAACTAAAAAACATAACTTAATCTACCTAATTGTTCTTTTTTGAATTTGTCTCATTAATGTTTCAGGTATTCCTTATTTCCCACACAAAGGAAACTATAGAACAAATTTGCTATTACATTAGTAATGTGAGGGTCTCTCCTAAAGCAGGTTTTCTCATAGTTATGTCATAAAGAAATCACTGAAAAATCTGTTAAAAAAATCTCATCTCTAAAACAGATAACAGCTATTTCAGAAGGTTTTAGAAAGAGATATCTCAAGCAAAACTCTTTGTAAAAAAGGTATGCATATGAGGCCCAATTTCAATAAAAAACATGAGAAAAAAAAAGTTATAGGCCAAGTATCTTTACTTAATCCTATCTAATAAAAGGGTAATATGCAAATTAACCGTCACTCTGTCACAAAGATGGCAGTGCTCATAACCACAAGATGGTGGTGCCAAGTCCTCTCAGCCCCGCAGGAGTTGCAGATAGCTATTGGTGCACGGATTCGTGCGCAGAGTACTAGTAAAAAAAAAAATAAATAAAATAAACAAATCAACAAAACGTATGGTCAACTTTGTGTTGTTCTTTCCTCTAAATCTTTGTGTTGTTCTTTCCTCTAAAACTTTAAACACGTTTAGGGCAATTATATCATTCTTTAAACTAGAAAACCTCAGTGAACCGAAGATGAACAGTTTACTATCCATCAAGCGAGTATAGAAAAAGAGAAAACAAAGGGACGGAGAGAGAGAACAGAATTTAAGGCAACTAAATGCTAAAGATAAAATATACAATATTATGAAGAGATTCTAACTTTTGGATAAAAGTTAATGATGATAAGAGAAATAAAAAGTTATACCTTAGTCATCTTGATGGACTACTATTCAGTCAGGAAAAGACTACATACTGTGAAATGCCATGAAACAAATGTAAAGGAAAATAAAAAGTATAAAAACTTATATATACAGTTTAATCAGAATTGTATAAATTTACCAATAAAAATGGAAAGAGTATTAGGTGTATAGCTGGCATCTAAAATTTTTTTTGTATATTCTAAACTTGATATGTAAGTATTATTTTTATAATAAAAATACATAATTTATTTGAAAACAACAAAACTGTACTGTCAGTTTGCTTTAACAATATTGCTTTTAAAATTAATACCTGGTTAATATTTTTAATTTATAATTTATATTGGTACATTTCCAAAGTAGCTTTGAGACAGCTAATAAAAAAGCAACATCAAAAAAGATGAAACAATACAGCAAATCCATAAAAAAAGTACAGGAGAGCAGGTAGCAAATAAAACCACCATGAGCCCATGTGGCTCAGTTGGTTAGACATCATCCTGTGCAATTTGCTAGTTCAATTCCCTATTAGGGCACATACGCAGATTACGGATTGTGGGCTCAATACTGCACAAGAAGCAGCCATTAAACATAAAAATGTGACCTTGGGCTATGTATAGGGCAGAAAGGTTGATTAATGACTCAATCAAATTTAGTTCTCTTAACGGACTTATACTTTCAATAAGTGGTAAACTTCTTGAAGAAGCTGTGAAGACAAAACGATTCAGATAAATCTCAGGTAGAGAGCTTTGTCATAAGCCCAGTCATGTACTCAAGCCATCATTGCCACGATTACATATTTAAACCACAAATTCAGACAATAAGCCTAAATTATGAAATAATAGCAAATGTTAAAATAGCTACTATCTAAAAATGGAGAAAATGGAAATAGAGGAAAAAAGTCCTTAATGATCAAAGGCTTCAGATCACTTAACACAAAGGACATTAGCAAATATTGCACTTAATGATAATTTTAAACTTACTTGATTACTGGAGGAAGTGAATCAAGCCTAGTCTCTGGGCTCCAAGCTATGCCACCAACCCTGATTCCATGGTGAATTGTTTGTAGTGTTTTATACTGAAGGCCTTCAATGTCTGCTTCTTCCTCCTAAGCAAAAACAGGCCATGTTATAATAAGTAATGAGAACAAACATTATAATACTCCATTTTATGATAATAAAGAATTTACCAGGAGATTATGTAAAGTGAGTTCTCTTAATGTAATTGATAGGTTTGTGACTTTGGGCAAAATGATATGTATAACAAAACCAGTTTTTTGTTTTGTTTTTTTTTTAGAGGCTAGTTAATATAAACAAGAATTATGTTCCTATGGCATATTTCTGGTCACAAAAACATGACCAAACTTGTAAATAAAGACCCAAACAACTTCTAATATTAATCACTGAACTGTGAGCTATACCTAATTGTAAGAGCCTAAGTATTTACTATCTAGTTCTTTACAAAAAGTTTATTAATAATAAATTCCTTCCTGTAGTAAAATGTGCTCTAGAGTAAAGAAAAATGACCCCAGAAGAAAGGCCTGAGATGTAAGGAAAAGTGAGTAAAAAAGTAAAAAGCAAACAGGTGAGTAAATTAAATAAATATTAGCCACATAAAACATTAAATTTGTGGGTTAAATAAAAAAAAATGAGAGCTCAAATATGACAATAATAGAAGTCTGGAGGGGGTGATAAGAGTTCATGTGTCAAAGGTCCTTGTTCTTTTTATTGATTTCAGAGAGGAAGGAGAAAGAAAGATAGAAATATTAATGATGAGAGAGAATCACTGATAGGCTATCTCCTGCATGCCCCCCACTGGGTATCAGAATTGGGCCTACAACCCAGGCATGAGCCCCCCCGACCAAAATAGAACGTAAGACCCGTCAGCTTGCAGGCCGATGCCCTAACCAGCCAGGGCAAAGGTCCTTGTTTCGTTCATAAAGTTAAAGATATTAATTTGGACTTTGTTAAGTATGCATGCTAAAATGTCTTTGGTAACTATTAGAAGAAAAATGGCATTAAAACAAACTATTAAGAGAAAAAAATGAAAGAGGGGAACAAAACAGACAGAAGACAATTTTGGGTAAGAAGGGCAAAAAGGGCAGAATACCCAAGGGGCTTCAAAAGAATTGCTAATATTCCATTTCTTAAGCTAGGTATATAGGAATCTATTTTATTATTATTCTCTATACCAGTGTTTCCCAAACTTTTGACATGTGTACCCCTTCTGTAATTTTCGTAATGCTGAGTACCCCTCGTACTCATGAGAACGTAGAATTAGGCGCAGGTAAGCATGGTGCAGTGCATATCCCCACCAAACTCCAGTGCAACGCGTATCCCCACCAAACTCTTCCCGTACCCCTGGGTGTACGCGTACCACACTTTGGGAAACATTGCTCTATACCATATATTGATAATATATATTTAAAAATATATTTTATAAGCTTAAAACACTGTGATTTTAAAAATAAACCATGGTTTTATTATTTAAATCAATACTCTAACTGTGTCTGAAGACAAAAGCAGAATACTTCTTTTTTTCCCTTTTCCTTTATATATATATTTTTTTCTATCGGTTTTTAGAGAGGGAGAGAAACATTGATGTGAGACTGAAACATGGATTGACTGTCTCCTCCATACCCTGACAAGGAATCAAGCCCACAACCCAGGCATGTTCCCTGACCAGGAGTTAAACCTTTTGATTCACAGGACAATGCCAAACTGAGCCACAATGGCCAGGGCAAAAGCAAAAATTTTCATGACAAAATTTTCCAAAGGAATCTTCTATGTTAAATGACTAGTTATCTTTTATGAAAGTTTATAGGGTTACAAAATAGCAGGGAAAAATCTAGAGCAGGTGAAACTTGATATTTAATGGAATACATGTGTCTATAGGGAAGGGAATTATCTGAAGGCTTGTTCTAAGAATTGCATCCTGAATCTAAATGCAGAGTTTTATAATGTGTACTTTAACTGAATCCCAGTGGATGTGTTGATTTTTCTAGGGTAGCCTTTGAGATCTTAACAAAGTCATTCCACAAATACATTCCACATCTCTTTCTCTACGTAATTCAGATGTCCCTTGAAAATAAATTTAAATTTCAGATGAACTTTAGAGTTAACAGAAAAAAGTTTTTCCATAAATGAAAAAACAGGTTAAAATGTATTTATCAAGGAAAGAAAAACACTGTCAAATTTTATTACTTTGTAATTTGTGTATATAACTGTATGGCTAACAGCCAGATATACCAAGGCAGCAACCACTAAGCAATTTTAAAATAAGGTTGGAAGCCTAATCATAGCTGACTTCATAGTTTGGGCTACATCTATTTTTCTACACTCGACAAATCAATCTTCTAAAAAATGAAGTTTTTACCATCAAAACAGACATTATTTTGCTACTGTAACAACAGTGCTGACAATTAGGTCTTGTATTTTGTTACCCAAAGTATATATGGAATTATTTGGTGGTCATGGGGATAAAGTAACTCCAGGAACTGTACAGTCTGAGCTTTATGTATTGCCAGTGAAACCTTTTTTTCCTGGCAGTGATGTCTGCCATTGAGCCAACTAAAAGGCCAGAGTGTATGTGTGGTACAGGCAGAGACAAATGCTATTTTGGGTGTAGGCAGTATTGTATAGGCAGGAAATTAAGACACTTTGTGGAAAACTTACCATAATACATATAATTACACAAGGCTCCAGCATATTTGAGGTTGGAGCCAAGCCAGGTTGATGAAAGGGCTATTCTAAGGATTTGAAATGGGCAGGCTTTCCTATCACACCCATTCAAGGCCAAGTATAGAATTTTAGTTAGTTTACCTACTCTGCTTCTTTCATTGAATGCTTGAATCTCTAGTACATCATTGAAAACACAAGTTTGCACAACCCTTATCTGAACACTTTCAGTGAGAGAGAACTACCTACTTCTTGAGGGGAGATTATTCCATTTAGGGTAAATCTAACGATGAGAAGAGTTCTCTTTAACATGAAACCAAAATCTTTTTTACCTGTAAATTCTACTCAGGACTCCAAATTCTACTTTCTGGAACTACACAGAATAATAATTCTAATTCAGTGATGGCCATAGCTGATTTTCCCTAAGGGGTACAGGCTCAGAGAAGACTTGGCATCACATACAACTGTGAGATCTGTCTTTAAGTTCATTATCTCCTTAAGATCTCAACACACTGCTGAGAACTGAAATAAACATCACTGCCACTTTATAGAGAATATAGAGCTGTGCAGTCCAATATAGTAGCTATTAGCCATATGGAGCTTTTAAACACTTGATATATGTAGAGTTCAAGCTGAGACGTGTACACTTTATAGAGTGCAAAATCTACGCCAGATTTCAGAGTTAATATAGAATATAAAATATCTCAATAATGTTTCATATTGGTTGTACATAAAATATTTTGGATATGCTAAGTAAAAGGTTAATTTCATCTGCTTTTCGCTTTTTATAATGTGGTTACTACATTTAAGTTTATATTTGTGGCTCACATTATATTTCTATTGGACAGTCCTGAATTAGCTCTCTTTGGCAGTTTAACCATTGCACTGACTCATGGTGAACATCCAGATGATTAAAAACTGGAAGTCATAATTCTCCCTTTTAGCTCTAGTAATCTATCATATTAAGACTTTATATTCATCTTTATTGAATTTTAGCTTGTTCAACTTGACCCTATTTGGATTCTGAGCAGAGTCTGACATACAGTATGTGCACAGATAGTATGTTAAATGAACTCTGCCATCCAAAACATTAGGTATCCTTTTCACCTTCATGTTCTTGCCTGAATCAAGTGTTCTCATCCAAGTTCCAGTAGAGGCCTTAATTTATTATTGATGACCCTGTGAATATACTTAGAACCTTTCATGCTCTCTCTTCGGATACAAATAGGACTTTTATACACGTTTTCTTATTACGCTGGTTTACATTTAAACATCTCCTTGAGGGCAGGGTCCTTGCTTTTTTAAACATGTATCACCAGTTCCCACACCAGATCTGCATTTCATAAATATTTGACAAATATATGACATCAATTAATACTATCTTCAGCTTAAATTTCCATCTTTCAAAAGAACACTATCAGATTCGGAAAAATGCTTTGCTGAAATTCATAGTCACGATATTGAGAGTTTTTCTTTCACCAGTCTTAGAATAAGATTGCCTTTCTGATAGGAATGAGGAAATCTTTCAGTTTGATTTACCTTAGTTATCTCTCAAGACAAGAGGGAGGCATGAAATTAGGTAGTATGGAACTTGAAGCTTCTATCATGAGAGACTAAGAACAATGTTTAATAGTGTTTAACTGATAAAAAACATAACTTCAAAGGGAAGCAATATACTTTCAAAGTTTAGCAAAGGTTTACCAACATTAGCATAAGCTGTTATCAGTGAAATATCTTCACTGTCATTCACTGTAGTTTCACACACTAACCTGAAATGTACACGTGCCAATGACCACGTAATTATCGCCACCATATGCAATTAGGTTTCCCGAATCCCCAGTGTCAAAGGGATTAAATTCTACCACGTGCACACAATCTTCACAATCCACGGTGTAGGCTGCATTCCTTGTAGCATCTTGCTTCATCTTGGATGTCAAAGCTTGAGCAGTTGTAACAATAAAGTAGCCTTCTACTGGACAAGATCATGAAACTGTGAACTACAGCACAGACACAGTTAGATAGAAACGGTCAAAAATATTCACTTTCAGCAAATGATCAAAATGAGAACAGAGTATTGCAAATGCCACAGACAGCAATAATATATATGAAGAGGAAATCACTTTAGTAAATATATTTATAACAAGTTAAAAATAGTTAACATTTACCCTGCAACTTTTTGCAGGTGCCATGTTAACCATTTTACTGACAATATAGCACCAAATATTCCTATAAACCTTAGAGGGAGATACTGCCTGTGGTTCCCATTTTACAGATGAGAAAATCAAGACTTTAGGACTTTATAATTAGCTTGCCCAGGTCAGGAGATGAGCTAGAATTTGAAAACATGACTATGTGTTGGACACCAGTGCTAGAGAAGAAAAACAACACGAAGGGGCTCACAGTCTGGGGTAGTGATGGTTCAGCGTGAAAAGCGCTGCATTATCAACAGGTACAAAATACAGGATAGGGAAGGAATGACAAAACGTGTGTCATGAAAATTAAGTATTCACATAACCCGCACAAAAACTTCAGCTAAGCTGTCGTGGTCTCGTATGCACTCTGGACGTAATATTCCCCAAAGAGACATGGATTCTGTAGGATTTTTGTGTGTGTGTTTTTATTTATTTTTATTTTTTATTGGTCGCAGGAGTTGCCCTGAAAACAGTTGGGCTCGATTCCAAGCTTATGAAATACCCGATGAGGACGTATTGAGAATCAGATGAGTCCCACCTCAGAAAGCCAATAAACTAGCAACCTTACAAGTGGGCATCTGGGGTTGGGCATGGAGCTTAAGGCGAGGCACAGAGGTGTGGGAAGGCAGAAGTCTCCCGGTGAGGATACTCGGTCTAAAGTAGTGTCCAGGCTCATACATTATCGGGGTCTCACAGTGCACAACAAGGGGGGTGAGGGGAACGCGGACATGTGCCCTCCGGGGAGGGGAGGGAATGAGAGGCGATCCTACCGAGAGCCCAGATGCCTCCCCCTGTGGCAGGCAGATCGCTGGAGACCCCGCTACCGCCTCCCAGAGCCCGAGGTCCGGGGGGGGGGGGGGGACGGGGACGGAGACCCGCCTGGGGACAGCAGGGCGGTCGGTGAGCCAAGCAGCGCGGCCCCCGGGGCGCCGTGGTACCCACCGGAGGGAAGCGGGAGCCGCCACAGAAGAGGAGGTATCCGCGGAAGACGCTGGAGGCTCGCGTCGATTCTGCTTCCGGGTCAGAGGGCGGCAGCGGCGATTGGCCCTCAGGCCCTCCCGCGAGATTTAAAAAGTAACTCACGCAGCGGAGAGAGTTTGCGGCTGGGAGGGTCCTCCGTGCCGCTGGACCTGCGCCTCCGAGGTCTCCCCGGAGCCAGGTGAGTCTGGCCTCCCCTCCGTCCACACGTCACAGGTTCAGTGGCGACTCAGGCCGCCGCGGGCTTTTCGGTGACAGGAAAGGTCCGTGGGATCTTTTTTTTTTAAAGTTATTTGCGCGATGACTTCGCCCTGGAGCCAGGTTGGGTCCGGGTGTATGGACCGGAGTTCACAGAATCTCCTGGCGGGTGGGGCTGCTTAGGTTAGGGGAGAAGCCGGGGTTCTAGCCCCCAAACCTACGCACACCCCAGTTCTGCTGCCTTCTCCCTGTCCCTGTTATATCCCCCCGAGGAACTTTCTGGACCCGCATTCTGACAGCGATTGTAGCAACCACTGCCTTTATTTATTTATTTATTTATTTATTTATTTATTTATTATTGAGCATCTACTAAGTGCTGGGCACCAGGGGGAGTATTTCCTTGTCTCTCTAATGTCTCATAATCTTACGGGATAAGAGATATCTTCCCCCCTTTGCAGATGAAGAAGTACATGCTCATCAGATATTTTAAATACCAAAGGGCATACAGCAAAATCATGGAGGAGTCTGGATGTGGACCCTGATCTCTCTGATCTCACACTGCCTCCCCAGTGACAGTTTCCTGTCTCACAGTGTTTGCTTCAGTGCGGCTTGGAATACAGTTGTTTATTATTATTATTATTATTATTATTATTTATTTTTAAAACATACAAGTGTTTATGATCTCTGCCACCTTCTACTACTGGTTTTGTGTAGTGCAGACTGACATTCAGAGGGCTTGCATATTCGTTGTCTCACTGACTCCTCATAAATGGCTGGAAAATATTATTCCTGTTATCTAGCTAGGCAGTCAGGTTAAAAGCTGCCTAGGCTCACATAGCCAGCTAGCTCCTGGGAGAGTTGAGACTAGATCAGGGTTGGCAAACCAATGGCACTGCCTGTTTTAGTGTATCCAGTTCCCAAGCTAAGAATGGATTTTACATGTTTACATGGTTGTGGGGATGGGGGGTGGTGGAATGGGGGGATCATTAGAAGAATGATATTTTCGGATGTGTGAAAATTATATGAAATTCAAATTTCAGTTTTTATTAAGTTTTAATGAAGCTCATTTGTTCATGGGTTGTTGGTGGCTATTTTCACATGGCAAGGTCAGGTTGAGTAGTTATGATAGAGACTGTATGGCTTGCACTCCTCAAATATTTGCTATTTGGCCCTTTCCAAAAAGTGTGCTGACCCCTAGATATGTGCCAGGCACTGTTCTAAAAGCTCCAATTAGCCGGGACCGGTTTGGCTCAATGGATAGAGCGTCGGCTTGGGGACTGAAGGGACACGGGTTCGATTCTGTTCAAGGGCATGTACCTTGGTTGCGGGCATATCCCCAGTAGGGGGTGTGCAAGAGGCAACTGATGGATGACTCTCTCTCATCGATGTTTCTAACTCTGTATCTCTCTCCCTTCCTCTCTGTAAAAAATCAATAAGATATATTAAAAAAAAAATAAAAGCTCCAATTATATTTACCACTTACTTTTTTATAAAACTCTATGAGATAGTAACTGTTATTTTCCTTTTTTTTTTTCAGTGCAACGAAGCTGAGGCTGAGAGAGGTGACATAACTTGGCAAAGATCTCACAGCTAGCAAATAGTGAAGTCAGGATTCAGAACAGTGTAATTCCAGATTCATCTTCATTCTAGAAATCTAAACTCAGTATCTTTAAATAACACTAGTAAGTAATTTACAACTAAAGATTTCTTTCAGGCAAACTGATCATTACAGAAGTGTTACGCCCCCACTTTTTTATTTCTTATAAGAGATGAGGGTGATATTTTTAAGAGAAATATAATTCTTAGTTATTTACTAGGATTTGTTTTTAAGTAGATACTTTACAATCTTATACCTGTAAATTTAAGTTGCATCAGTGATTGTGTCTTTAAGTTATTATTTTGTAAATGGCATATGCCCATTTTCTTGATCATAGAAACCCAAGATACATAGTAAACATCTGAGATTTTGTTCCAAAATTCCAAACTCAGGAGGAACCTATGTGTTTAGCATAAACTATATTGTTGTACAAACAGTTTAAGCACAATGAGCCACTCTTACTAGAAACCCTCCTGAAATTGTGTTCCCAATTTTGTAAGTAGGGCTTCCAAAGGATAGTAATCAGGCCTGCTGTATTAATTTTTTCTGCATGGGCCTTTTGAGGTATAAGCTTGGAACTCTCGCCGTGCCATTCTTGCTACATTCTATTGGTTAAATCAAGTCACAAGGCCAAATGAGATTCAAAGGGGTGGAAAAATAGACCATCTTTTTTGGGATAATATAATGATGGGAAGAAATTGGCTACCTTCCTCCCCAATCTACCACAGATATTACCATCTATCTTAAAACAAAATTTTAAAACAGTTTTAATTAGCTATGTTTCTGTAAATGATAAGTTTGCAGAATTGGTGTATCTATTTTGTGGAATTTTCAGATTGAAGGTTGTATTTTGTTAATTCAAATGATTTGGCTTAAGAAAGCTAAAGGAGAGGAAAATACGATTGGGGAGAAATTGTTTTATTCTGTTTTCCTAAGTTTAATGAAAAGCAGTCTTTGTAAACATGAGATGACCTCTTGTTCACTACTTATTTTTCTCTAACTCTTGCTTGCCTTATACATGTTACATATTAATTTCCAATTAAAATAAAGCTTTTAATATTGTGTTCTATCCTACTTTAGGATGATGGCTGTGCTTCATCAGAAGTCTGTCTTGGATATGATTAAAGAGTTCAGAAGGAATTGGCATACTTTTTGTAACTCTGAGAGAACTACTGTATGCGGTGCAGACTCTATGATCTTGGCATTGCAGCTCTCCATGGCAGAAAACAACAAACAGGTTAGTAGGCTATATTTAGATTTGCTTTTTTTTAACAGTGAATTTTGGTTGCTGCTATTTGAATAAACTTCATTACATTAATTTCTTTGCAATAGATGACCTCCTATGATAATATCAATATACTATTTCCGAAAATGCCTCTGCATACCTATGTCAGAAATTACTATTGGATTTTAAATTGTTTCAAAATTAAAGCCTTCATATGTATAATTCAACATAAGACATACACATTTGAAGTTTAATTTGAAGTTTTAAGTTAAACATGCAACTGGTGTGATTACCATGGTTAAAATTATTCTAATTTTATAAGACTTCCCTAAAAAGATCTGGAAGGCACACATAGGTAATGTTTATTTAAATATAACCGATTTTATGACTAATTTAAGATTTTAAAAAAATATATTTTATTGATTTTTCAGAGAGGAAGGTAGAGGGATAGAGAGTTAGAAACATCCATGAGAGAGAAACATCGACCAGCTGCCTCCTGCACACCCCCACCGAGGATGTGCCTGCAACCAAGTACATGCCCTTGACCTGAATAGAACCTGGGACCTTTCAGCCCACAGGCCGATGCTCTATCCATTGAGCCAAACCGGTTTCGGCACTAATTTAAGATTTTATAGCATAGATTAATTGTTTCTAGACCAGTTATAGATCAGAATCACTTGGGAGGACTTTTGAAATATATTGACTCCTATGCCTCCATCTTGAAATTCTACTCTCTCAGTCTGCACTGAGACCCTGGAAATTTTTTTTTTTATTTTATTTTATTTTTTATTTATTTATTTATTTTTTTATCTCCCTGAAGTGATTATTACATAGTTGGCTTGGTCCAAACTACTGTTTATAACATGAGCTCTAACTAGAGGGCTAGAGGTTCTCAGATTAGAGGTGAATGAATGTAGGCTGAAGTGGTAAAGAATTTTAGATAATGTACTTAAAGCAGTGGAAATCTTTGGATGGGAAGGTTTTAAAGAAGGGATGATGTAAGGGGAAAGTTCAGAAGAAGCCTCCATGGGGAATCAAAATCATGAAGATGGTAAGGAGACTGTCTTGACTAGAGATGAAGGATTTTGAAGGATAAAGTTGATTTCCATGGGTCTGTTGGGCTAAGTGATGGAATGACATTCTGATGAATTATTTTAATCCTGTATGCCAGTAGTTCCCAGAATTTTAGATTTCATATACCAGTAAATTTCCAAAAGAATTAGATATTGACAGATTTGAACATTTCTCGTGTTGGCAAATAAGGCTATTAAGGAAAACATAATTAATAGAGCTATCATTTTGAAAAATGAAGACTATTTTAGCACCTGAAAATTAGAAATTGTATGATCTTAAAATAAGAGGTGGTCTTTCCTCTGCATGAATAGTTTGTAGTTTTGCATGTTTAAAGCAATGTATTTTAAGATAAATTTTGAAAATAAAATATTTTTGAGAAAAATTCTATCTTATGGAGATATTCTTTCAATAAATACTGAGTTTTTGCTATGTGCTAGACATTATTCTGAGCATCTGTACTAATAAAAAAATATGCAAATTGGTCACGGTGCCCTCACATTAACAACCAAACAGAGGCCTCATGGGGCAACAAGGCCAGCAGGGGGGTTAGCAAGGGACGGTCAAATGACTGAACAGCAGGTTGTGTGGGGTGACCAGGCCGGCAGCAGGGGCAGTGAGTGCCCAGGCCAGCAGAGGGGATCATTGAGGTGCAACCAGGCCAGCGGGGAGAGGTGGGGAGGGAGGGCAGTTAGGAGCAACCAGGCTGCGGGGGGTGGCGGGGGAGACAGACGGACAATTAGGGGCAGGCAGGCAGACAGGCAGGCAGGTGAGCAGTTAGGAGCCAGAGGTCCTGGATTGTGAGAGGGATATCTGGTAGTTGGACATCCCCAGGGGTGTCCTGGATTAGAGAGGGTCCAGGCTGGGCTGAGGGGACCCCCCACCCCCTGCCACAACACAAATTTCATGCACTGGGACACTAGTTAGGAATATAGATTTGAAGGTAATCCCTGCTCTTATGGAAATAATTTTCTAGTCAGGAGAGATAACATTTTCATAAGTAAGAATTTTAGTGCTTTAATTCACAATAAGTGCCACAGAAAAGAACAAAACAGAGTTCTTCCAAATAAAGAGTGTATTGAGTTTGGGGTGGAAGAGTTTTTGCAACCTGAAATGAGGTGGTCAAAGGAGGCCTCATTTAGAAGTTGTCATTTGAGCCAAGATTTGAATGAGTGAAAGGAGGAGTTGGTCATGGAGATTTAGGTGGGGAGGGACTACCAGACAGAGGGAACAGCTGATACAAGGGCTCTGAGGTGGGAATATGCTTGGCGAGTTCAAGGAACCCAGGGAGGCTGATTGCAGCTGTTTATATAAATGTTAATTTCCCTCTCTTCCTCCCTTCCACAGATTCCCTCCCTCCTTTTCTCCCTTCCTTCCCTCCCTCCCTCTCTTCCTTTAAAATGCTTATTTAACCATTTAGATGTTCTTTTCTTCAACTGTGTTTATATCCTATGCTTATTTTGCTCTTGAGTTGCTTTGATCACTTTCTTACTCTTTAAAAGAGTTCTGCATGTATTTTAGATACTCTTCATTTTTTACTTTGTTGCTATCTTCCAATGTGCTCAATATTACCCACTGAGGATGTGCCTGCAACATCCTCAGTGGGTAATTTCAGCAGTATTCTTATACCAGACCTCTCTACTAAGTTATGCTTTGGTATGGTCAAGTACTCAATTGGACTTTTTATCTTGATGTCCCATTGCTGTCTCCACATCAGTTTTTAAAAAGAAACCACATTGTTTGCTCCCTTAGCTTACCTTAGTATTTATATTCTTAGTCCCCAATATTTGTATTATTATTCACTTAGTCACTGAAACTAGATGCCTAAGGGACATCATAGAGTCTCTTTGCTTCCCATATTAGGTCTTGCTTAAGGATTAAAAAAAAAAAAGTCCCTTTTAAAAATTCCTTTATTGTTTAAAATATTACATATGTCTCCTTTTTCCCTGATTGACCTCTCCTCGGCCACCCCCACACCCCAGCACATGCCCTCACCCCCCTAGTGTCTGTGTCTATTGGTTATGCTCATATGCATGCATACAAGTCCTTTGGTTGATTTTTTACGCCCTCACCCCCCACCTTCCCTTTGGAATTTGGCAGTCTGTTCGATGTTTCTGTGTCTCTGCATCTATTTTTGTTCATCAGTCTATGTTGTTGATTATATTCCACAAATGAGTGAGATCATATATTTATCTTTCTCCATCTGGCTTATTTCACTTAGCGTAATGCTCTCCATCTCCATCAATGGTGTTGCAAATAGTAAGAGTTCTTCCTTTTTTAGAACAGCGTAGTATTCCATTTTATAGATGTACCACCATTTTTTTAATCTACTCATCTGCTGATTGGCACTTAGGCTGTTTCAAATCTTAGCTATGGTAAATTGGCTGCTGTGAACATAGGAACGCATATGTCCTCTCTGATTGGTGTTTCTAGTTTCTTGGGATATATTCCTAGAAGTGGGTTTACTGGGTCAAATGGAAGTTCCATTTTTAATTTTTTGAAAAAATTCCACACTCTTTTTCACAGTGGCTGCACCAGTCTGCATTCTCACCAGTAGTGCACGAGGGTTCCCTTTTCCCCACATCCTCTCCAGCACCTGTCATTTGTTGATTTGTTGATGATAGCCATTCTGACAGGTGTGAGATGGTACCTCATTGTCATTTTGATTTGCATTGTCCTTCTTTTATAATCTGCAGAATTTATAAGATGGATAATAGATTCTGAGAATATTGTGTACATGGAATGGGCTAGCTGATGGTTAAATCTTGGTGTCCATACACTGGGAAATGAAGAGAGAAAGAAATTGGGACAATTATTAGGAATCGCTATTGAGTGATTGAGAGCTGTTGTTCTGGAATCAAGCAGAGCTTACAGAGCATATTCAGATCACCTCCTATCATTTGTTTGCTTGTATAGGAATAATTGAGAAATAGATACACAACAAGTTACGTAAAATGTAGCCTGAAAAAAATTTAATTCTCATTGTGAAAATTTTGACATATTAAAATATCCAATCCAAGTCAGTTTTTCTTCAGGACTTGTCCTTGTAGCATTCACTGGGTTTTTTTTCCCTACTTGCTAATATCCTACCTGCTAATTCACTTTATTACCTGTGAAAGTTCAGACTCTGGGTGGGAAAAGGGGAATGGTAAAATTGCAACTGAGCTTTTCACAGCTTGTGTAGATATGCATACCTGTGGAGATGGTGGTTGCAGTTCTGTTTTACTTTAATTTTCTATGTAGAGACTTAGCTTAGGCATTCCTCACTGTGCTCAGACTTCCAAGGCACCCAGTATGAAACACCACGCACATATGCCTGCAGCATTGGTAAGTAGCATACGGTAATGAAAGTGTGTAGTTGCTTGTATATATCCTTCAACTGTTTTTCACCCGGTGTTTGTGGTCTACTTATGGTTTTTAATTCTCTGAAGTTTGAGTCCCTAAAGTATAATCCTTATAACTGAATTTGACTGCAGTAAAACTTTTGAATACCTAGCAGAATTGTTAGTCTGCCTATTGGCATGTTTGTTTTCTTAACTGTTTTAGTGGGGAAAAAGAAAAGGCATGTTAAAATAATCTTTGAGTGTTAGGTTTTTGGCATGTTTTTAGAGGATCAAGATTTTTTTTTTTAGCTTAAATCATGCAATACCTCTCTAGTAGTTTTATACTGCTAATGATTTACCTGTTTTAGATTCATTCACTATTGACTTCATTATGTGACAAATATATGACTTTATTAGGTTGCAAATAATATTTTAGCCTTTACTATCTTTGGAATTGGCCTAATAGTTTGACTCTGTCATACAATTACATTATAAAGGCTGTTTCTCATCTTAAAAAGCCTTAAGAACATTACAAATGTTCTATTGGGTGAAACAGACAAATATATTGATTTATAACTTTGTGGAAAGCAACCACAGCACCTGTGGTTGACTGACAGATTTGAAAATGACCTAACAGAGACATAACAAGGAGAAACAGAATTTAAAATCCTATACAATAAGTGTTCGGTCATCCAGTCGTCCGTTCAACTAATCAATAGCATAATAATATGCTAATGATATGTTAAGGCTGCTCAACCACTCGTGCTCACTATGACCTGCATTGACTACCAGGGAGCAGATAGTCAACTGTTTGACCAGTTGCTATGATGTCCACTGATCACTAAGGGGCAGACACTCAATGCAAGAGCTATTCCCTGGTGGTCAGTGTGCTCTCACAGGGGGAGCGCTGTTCAGCCAGAAGCCAGGCTCATGGCTGGCAAGCTCAATGGCAGTGGTGGGAGCCTCTCCCACCTCCACAGCAGTGCTAAGGATGTCCAACTGCCAGCTTAGGCCCACTCCCTGAGGGCTCCCAGGCTGCAAGAGGGCGCAGGCCGGGCTGAGGGATCCCCCCGCCTCCCAGAGAATGAATTTTGTGCACTGGACCTCTAGTTGAATTATAATTATCGACCACTCCTCCCCTAGCAAACAAACTGACAATTATTTTACTTGATAAAAAGAGGAGGGCATCTGCCATTTTTTATTATAAAGTGTTATTTAATCCGTACAATCTTATTTTTTTAAATAAAAATATATTTTATTGATTTTTCACAGAGAGGAAGAGAGAGGGATAGAGAGTTAGAAACATCAATGAGAGAGTCATCGATCAGCTGCCTCTTGAATGCCCCCTATTGGGGATGTGCCTGCAACCAAGGTACATGCCCTTGACTGGAATCGAACCCGGGACCTTTCAGTCCGCAGGCTGAAGCTCTGTCCACTGAGCCAAACCGGTTTCGGCCGAGACAATCTCATTTTATAACCAAGGAAATTGAGTGATTTCGGTATCTTACCCAAGTTCACACAGCAAAGAAGGGAGAGGAAGGGAGAGAGAAAAACATCAGTGATGAGAGAGAATCATTCGTTGATCGGCTGCCTACTGGAGCCCCCAACTAGGGATCAACCCCCAACTGCACATGTGCCCTGACCTGGAATTTAACCATGACCTCCTCTTTCATAGGTTGATACTCAACCACTGAGCCACCATGTCAGCTGGGCACCAATTAATGCTCTTAAGTAGACCTGCTATCTTTAATCTTTTGATAATAAGAATTCCAGGTAGTTAATAATGTGAAGTGTATTTAAAATTTTGAATAATAAATAACTTTGATAAAATATACAAAGCACAAGGTCTCTGAAAATGTGTAACTCTTGCTTTTTCTTCTGTTATTCTGGTGAAATATAATCCTTCGGTTGTCTATCAAAGCATTGAACATTTTGAACTTCCTTCAAATAGTAGCCAGTTGGCATGTTTTCCTAGCAAAACATTTTCTGATTTGACCACAGACTCTGTTCAATCAGTTGTTACTCGTTTGAAAAATAGAATATCCTGTCATGGTGGGCACCTGATCCTGAAAACTGATAGCTGGAGTGCAATTTTATTTGGATTTAAAATGTTTTTACAATCTCAGTATAAACACTTAATCTAGTCAGAGCCTTTTCTCAAAAGATCAAGAGTTTGCATAGTTTTCCTTTAGTTACAGTCAACAGAATGAGAATAAATTACATATTTGCATTAAAACAAATTCTTAATTTGTTTTTACCTTGAAGGACGTTATGCCAGAATAGATTTTAAGAATTCTTAAGATAAAACAATTGAGTTTTAAACAAAATAAATGGATTTATTTAACTTAAATATCATTTGGAGATTTAATAATATATAACTTTTGTAGGGTTTGGGAGTAAAGTATACAATTTTTGATTCAATGTTTAGATTATGGACCTACGTTTGAGAGTTAATGATCATTTTCTTTGTTCATTGAACTAATTTTATGAGATATAATTAATTTTCACATCTATGATACAACAGCTCCCTCCTCTAAGGACAATTAGGATAAATTTCTTAATTGCTTTCATATGGATGGGTAGAGCGTTAATTATTTTAAGGCAGGTTGTACACTTTATCTTAAATTTGGATAGTAATTGGAAAATGTGACTGATCTTTATAAAACATATAAAGATAGATATTTGCAAGAGTCAGATATTTAGAAATAGTACTGCATCATATGATCCTATTTGATTTGTCATTGGCTAAATATGATGTTACAATTTAGTGCTGGTAAATTTTAAGTTCTATTTAAATATTCACCCATCTTAAAATGCAATTAATGGAAAAAGCTAGTTGTTAGCAGAAATTACTAATATATTGCTGGAGCTAAACTGTAGAAGATAGCAACATTGATACATTTCACAAAACCACATAGGGATGCTTATAAATATTTCTTATTCATGAAGCATTGGAAAGGAGCAGTTAGAATTTTTTTACTGAATTGGAACTGGCATTTTGTGGAGGCACCATTATTAATATTGGGGGTATAAAGTGGGAACAGAATGCAATCAATTGAAAAAAACAAAAACCTTCAATATGTCCAAATTTGAACAATTTTGTTTGATAAGTAACATCTGACAGCTTAGACAAAGAAACCTGACTGACTTTTTAGCACTCATTTGCCTACAGTTTAGTGTGTCCCTGAGTAGGGAAGAATGAAAATCCTCCTTTGACCAAAGTTTTGGCACTGGTGTTTTGTTTTCTCTACAAGAATAATGAAATGAAACATAGTTTTTAAAATTTAAATGTTTCTGATCATATTTTAAGATTAACACTTGGAATAGTGTGTGTAGTAAATGGGAATTCACTATGACAGTTGTTTAAAAAAAAAAAAATTTTATTGATTTTTTACAGAGAGGAAGAGAGAGGGATAGAGAGTTCGAAACATCGATGAGAAAGAATCATCCATCAACTGCCTCTTACACGCCTCCTACTGGGGATGTGCCCTCAACCAAGGTACATGCCCTTGACCAGAATAGAACCTGGGATCCTTTAGTCCACAGGTCGAAGCTATATCACTGAGCCAAACCGGTTTCGGCAAAATTGACACTTTTTAAATAAGAGATTAAAAATATATTAGCTAAAAGAATGAATAGGAACCAAATATTAACAGAATCGAATATTTTCCCAATCATTAGTACTTAGCTTCAGCTCACTGCCCTCCTATTGCCCCACTTTGAGTAGAAATTTAGTGAAGTTCAGGTAATAGACAATGTCTTTATACTGTATTTGCCAGTTTTGTCATGTGAGAACTTTCCATAGTTGTTCATATTTTATAAAATCATAAAAATCTCTTTTAATATCTGGTTTTAAAATGATTTCATAGGTCAACTTGGATGTTCTCTTCAATTTCACAAGAATTTAATATAAAATTCAACCAACTTTATCTTTATTTTTGGCATTATCTTTTTCAGCGCAGTGGAGAATTTACAGTTTCGCTCAGTGATGTCTTATTGACCTGGAAACACTTACTACAAGAGAAATTGAACTTACCAGTTGAAAATATGGAAGTGATTGCCCATTATGAGGACATTAGGAGAACTTACGATAATTTCTTAAAGAATAGTAATATGTTAGATCTGATCGATGTTTATAAAAAATGTAGTGCTTTGACTTCTAATGGTGAAAATAATGCCAACATATCTCCCGTAAGTATTTTTTAAAGTAATTCTGGCTTAATCTAGTTAAAACTTGACTAGGTTTATTTTTAATTCTGGTATTAGCATTTATAGTAACTTGATAATGCTTTTGCTTTTTGGATCATGTTAAAAATGGAGAATTTAGCTACCTGAAACCTAGCTAGTCATTACTTGGAAGAAAGGTTTTGGTGGTAAACTTTGTTGAACTTGGGGTATTATTATTTGGTTTAAATGTAAAACTATCTTCTTATTAGAGAATGAAAATTTTAATAAAGAAATCAGTCCCAAATGCATGATTTCTTTTTTTATTGATTGATTGAATAATTTGAGAGAGAGAAAGAAAGGGAAAGAGAGAAACAAGACTTTTCTTTCTTTTAAATTTTCTTCCATAAAAAATAAAATACTAAGATTAAATTTCCAAGCTCACCTTTTAACTCTGAACTGGAAAGTAAGCATTTTGTTTGGAAGTAGAATTCCATGTCTACATACTGTTGACTGCCAACAAAGGTTAGGTAAAATGCTGTATACTAGAACATCAGTGATGCTGCGTGGACTAGGTGTGAAATTTTTTTTTATAGTTGGCATATCATTTTATTAGTAATGTCTTGTATTTCCTACAGAATCAACTACGGGATTTTCTGTCTGGCAGACAGTCCGCAGAAGATGATGAAACTGGTCTTTCTGTACCGACATCACCAATGAGTAAAGACAACCAGGATAATGAAAAGGTACTGATAAATTGTGAGTAAATAAAGCAGGATATGATACCCTTCAATTCACTATGAATTTGATTATATGTACAGTTACTATTTTTTTAAAGTTTTATTTTGTTTAAGTAATATTGTTTGCAAAGAGTAATACATTGAAGACTGGTGAGAGCATAACAATCAGTTATTTCATGGTTTTGGGCCAACATAACAGGCACTGTACAAAAATAGGTATCACTCTAAGTATCAGAAAAATGGTTGAAGATCCAGATTGCCAGATTTCGTGAATTTTTATTTAGTGTCTCTTGGTCACTGTGTGGGATTGGTTTCAGGACTCCCCTTGGACATCAAAATCCATAGATGCTTAATCCCTTATATAAAATAATGTATGTAGTATTGTCAAATAACCTACACACATCCTCCTATATACTTTAAGTCATCTCTAGATTACTTTAATCCCCAATACATATGTCTTCTATTTTGCTGCCAATGGAGTCTTGGAGGATTTTTATGGTTTCCTGTCTTACATTCACGTCCTTTAGCCATTTTGAGTTTGTTTTTATGTATGGTGTAAGTTGTAATCTAGTTTCATTTTTTTGCATGTATTTGACCAAATTTCCCAGGACCATTTATTGAAGAGACTGTCTTGACTCCATTGTGTGCTCTTTCATCCTTTGTCAAAAATTAATTGAGCATAATGGCTTCGGTCGATTTCTGGGTTCTCTGTTCCTTCTGTTCCATTGGTCTATATGTCTGTTCTTGTGTCAATACCAAGCAGTTTTGAGAACCATGGCTTGGTAAATCAGCTTGATAGCTGGTAATGTGATACCTCCAACTTAGTTCTTCTTTCTAAGGATTGCTGTGGCTATTCGGGGTCTTTTTTATTCCAGATGAATTTTTGGAGAGTTTGTTTTAGATCTTTGAAATATGTCATTGGTATTTTAATGGGGTTTGCATTGAATCTGTAGATTGCTTTGGGTAGTATGGACATTTTAAGGTTGTTGATTCTACCAATCCATGAACATGGTATGTTCTTCCATTTGTTTGTCTTCCTCTACCTCTTTTGTCAATGTCCTGTAGTTTTCTGAGTATAGATCTTTTATGTCCTCAGTTAAGGTATCTTAATTTCCTAGGTATCTTAATTTTTTTGCTTCAATGGAAAATGGGATTTTTTTTTCCAATTCCCTTTCTGTGAGTTCATTATTGGTGTATAAAAAGGCCATAGGTTTCTGGGTGTTTTTATTGTATCTTGCTGCATTGCCAAATTCATTTATTAGGTCTAGTAGTTTTTTGATGAAGTCATTGGGGTTTTCTATGTATAATATTATGTCATCTGCAAATAAGGACAGTTTTACTTTTTTCTTTTACAATTTTGATGCCTTTTGTTTCTTCTTCTTGTCTGATTGCTATGGCTAGCACTTCCAGAACTATATCGAGCAGGAATGATGAAAGTAGGCATCCCTGTCTTGTTCCTGTTCTTAGGGGAAATGCATTTCGTTTTGTCTGTTGAGTATGATGTTGGCTGTAGGTTTGTCATATAAGGCTTTTATTATGTTGAAGTGTGATCCCTCTATTCCCACTTAGCTGAGAGTTTTTATCAAGAAAGGGTATTGGATTTTGCCAAATCCTTTTTTCTGCATCGATTGATATGATTATGAGATTTATGACTCTCAGTTTGTTTATGTGATATATCATATTTATTGATTTGCGGATATTGTACCATCCTTGCATCCCTGGAATAAATCCCACTTGGTCATGGTGTATGATCTTTCTAATGTTATGCTGAATCTGATTTGCTAGAATTTTGTTGAGGATTTTAGCATCTATGTTCATCAAGGATATTGGCCTTTAGTTCTTTTTTTATGTGCTGTCTTATCTGGTTTTGGAATTAAGGCATACTCAGTCAACAGACTCAACTATCAACAGTACAATGATTGAAATTTCTTTTGAAAGCCAAATTTTTTTAACTTAAACTTTTTCTAATGCCACTTATGAATCGTAATGTAAATATCTGTGTTTTTCTATGGTCTTAGGCTCTACAGCAGCGGTTCTCATGACCCACAGGTTGAGAACCGCTAGCAGGGTTGCCTAATATACTGGTAAAAATTTTTAGTACTGTACTAATCTTCTACATTTTATTTTTTGTCTCCTTGGCTTGTATTTTCTAGGAGAATTTTATCTACCAGTTAGCTGATGGATTAGATTTTATGAAGACTATTAAAGTAGCAGCCCTCCTCTAAGCCATTTTTCTGTTCCTTGCAAACTTCTAATTTTTCTTTTTTACAAAGTATTTTTGGAAGGCAATATATTTCTTTTAAAATTCCAAAGTAACTTTTTGGGCTGCAGTCTTGCAAAGATTTATTTTTATCACCAAATATGCTTACTAATACCACACAAGAGTCCTCGAATAGATGAATGAAACAAATTTGAGAAACAATGTTTTTGTTTCATTATTTTATTTTACTTTATTTTCTTTTTTTTAAGGTACTAAACTATTGCTTTCAAAATTATGAAGTAATGAGGGAAAAATACAATAAAGGCCCCAAAAGAAATAACCAATTAAATAAAAATTTTTACCAGTATATTAGCTTAAGTCCACTTTTTTTGCATGTATGTTTCATTATATGTGGTTGATATTTAGCGAAGAAAGTAAAAAACAAACAAAAACACTATAAATTGTAAATCTTCTTAATTTAGAAGAACTGACTTCAAATTAAGATTCAATATCTGTACTTCAGTAATAATTAAGGGATGGGAAAAGGAACTTGGAATTTTCAGAAAGCTTAAAATTGTCCAACTTCTAAACAAACATTGCAAAATACTTTGTGGTATGGACAGAATCAGTTTATTAAACAAATAAACTGAACAGTATCTTTATTTTCAGTGTCTTGGTAAAAGCTTCAATCTTGTGGATTTTTTCAATTTAGGCCTTGCTTCTGGACATCATAACTGTATTTATGTGGAATGCTTTTTCAGACAGCCTCTTTACAACCCACTTGCAAATACAAGTATAGGGAAACCATAACTGCCATGTTATCTGACCATAATGATAGGGACAGCTTTCTAATTACATCTGTGAGTTAAAAGAAACACCCTAACTGTGAGGATGCCAAGATGTTTTCTCCTGATGTTTGCCTAGCATTAGAAAGAAAAAATTTGCTAGACATAAAGAGCAAGCTGTAGATGTGACAATTTAAGACCTTGTTTTGTACCCACTGAGGAGTAGCTAAATATACATACTGGTAAGTCCCCATTATTTTGGCATAGTAGAAGCACAATGGAGTGAAATTGTAGTTTTACAAAATTAAAAGTGGGAAAAGTAAAAAATTTTCTGACTACAATGTGAATGTCATTGTTTTCTCTGCCTTGATTTTTGCCAAATGTGTTCCTCTTCCCAATGTAAAGGGATAAAGAAGATATATTGTATATTTTAGACATACTGTTGCACTGTGAAGTTAAAATATAAATATTTGTATTATAGATTCACATGAAGTAATGTGATTTTCTATGAAAGTAAAGATGCCCTTTGAAATATAAGCAGAAAACTGTTATGGCTTAGTCTATAAAACTTTATGATGCCTTACAGATGATCTTAATTTAATTGTACTTACAAAGAACTTTTCTTTTTAAGGCAATGCAATAAAAACGTATGAGCATTTGTTTGATTCCACAGAAGTTTTTATCCATAGTTTCAATTTTGAATTATTTAAAAGGGCCAAATACATGTAATAATTTTTCTTTAATCATTGAACAAAAACTTATTAAGAACCTATGAACAGAAATGCACTAATTTCCTAATATAATGCCAATCATTCTTTTATACCTTATATTGTTTGCTCTCATAGAACTTATAAAGTAGTAGAAATATTAAGAAAATAAAGTGTCAGAAAGTATTAAGATCTTGCAGATAATTATATAATTGACTGATATGCAGAGTTATAACAGGGTGGTAAGGAATTTGTGAATGGATAGCTACTTTATCTTGGGAAATTAGGGAGTGTCTCTTCAAATGTAATAAATATGCTAGTGTCTTTAATATTAAGAAAAAGTCTTATAGAGTTAATATCCTGTTTTTAAGAATCAGTTTTGCTTAAATTATATTTTAAGTCCATATATAAAGTTATCTTATCCTGTCTGATGAGGTTTTTAAACCTGACTGCCTCCCGTGTTTCAAGAATTGTTTTTCACATGAAATTTAAATATTTCAAAAGAGTGCCATTTTTAAAAGTACTTTTAAGATGCATATGAACTTGAGACGTCCATAATCATTATCTAAGAGACTTCCTAACAATTTGTAATTTTTTTTTATTGCTACCTCTTTAACTCTCTTTATGCCCTATTTTATCATTTAATTGTGAAGGACAAGTACAGTATATATGAAAGAAATGATGCCCATATCTAGTGCTCTCAAATATTACGTATTTTGTGCTTGAATGTACTAGAGTCTGTAGCTTTGTTTTGGCCAGTTTACATCAGCATCAGCTATTTGCTTTTATTTGCATAACACTTGGTTGAATCTTTTAATGTTAATATTTGCTTGTTTGGTATTGTCCAAGTCAGTATCTTAATAATTCTCCAAAAGCTTAACCATATAATTCCAGCCCTTATATCTAGCCCTGAAAAGTACATAGGACCAAATAGTGCCGTTGATCCATGCCCTAGGCTACAGGAGGCTTCATTATTGGATATTGTATAGGGGCAAATATATGTGGGGGAATGAGATCGGATCCTATCAGATATGCAGATTTTTGGGCTGTATCTTATATATCATTTTCTAACACTCATTTTCCAATAGTTATTAAAGTTGGTATTTACTCATAGCTTTTCATTGTAGCAAGATGGTTTTATGAGCAAAAGGTATGTTAATTGTCCAACCCAAATTTTCAGTTTATTTGGCAATTCTTTTTCCCAAAGACCTGAGTGAGATATTGCCATTGAATGATTATACGTATTTTTACTATATATAAAAATGTATGGATTTAAAACAACTTCAGTAAAGAAAGTACTATTTTATTGTGTAGGCGAAGTTACTGGCAAAGAAAATTATCTACTCATATTTGAATCTGCTAGTGAATTCAAAGAATGACCTGGCTCTGGCTCATATTCTCAATATTCCTGATAGAGGACTCGGAAGAGAAGCCTTCACTGATTTGAAACATGCTGCTCGAGAGAAACAGATGTCTATCTTTTTGGTAAGGATATGTCCCATTTTCAGTCTTTTTAAAATAAAGACTCTTTGAACAGTGGATCCATATACCTTGATGTAGAATTCTTATAATTGTGATAAAATAACTTTTAAATTGTTACTTTATGTCTTACCTCGGTGTGTTTTTGAAAATCCATAGAGTTTTTATGTTTTTGTCATATCTTTCCAATTTGGCATGGAGAGTTCTCTAGAAGGTTTTTTCCTACATGTATTCTTCAGAGTGCTAGCCAAAGGCAGCACACCCGTTACATGCTTTTTGAATTAACGTTTCCAAGAGCAAACCATTTGGAAATAGTATATGTCTTTATTGGATATATTAATACATAAATTCATGTTTGTATTTAAAAATCTTTGGGAAGTCCTGCCATAAAGAAATTTTCAGTTAACCTTGTTATTCTGTTGTTTTCTAAGTTATTTTACTGTGGGACTTTTCCTCAGATTATTGAAATTTCATAGAGTTTGTCTTTCTAAGGGAACACTCTGGAAAATACTACTTTATAATATTTTGGCAGGGATGCTTTTATGTTTAGTCATCATATGTGTATATTATTGTAAAGACAAAGTCTTTTGAACTGCACATGATCACATGATCCTAAGATGCGAAACTAGATGGGACTTAATGATTGTCTAGTCTAATCTTTATTTTGCATATCCAGAACCTACAGCTTGGAATTAATTGCCCAATCAACACTGAAAACCCCTTTGTTCTGTGCAACAATTCCAGTAGCCAGGAGTCAGTCTATATAGCAACATATTCATAAACCAATTATTTATAGTCAATGATATACTTTTATGAGCATACTTAATTTGTCCCCTAACCTTTGCTGGCATGAATTCTGCATGACACCTATTTCTTTTATTACTTACTTGTGAATCATTGTGTGGTATGAGTCACAAAAGCACTTCACTTGTATAATCAGAATTAGGTAAATATACCCAGCTTCATGGAGTAAATTGTTGTTTTAACTTACTAACCATTAAACATAACAATCATTTGTTTTAATTCATAGGTGGCCACATCATTTATTAGAACAATGGAGCTTGGAGGGAAAGGATATGCACCATCACCTTCTGATCCTTTGAGGACACATGTGAAAGGATTGTCTAATTTTATTAATTTCATTGACAAATTAGATGAGATTCTTGGAGAAACAGCAAATCCAAGGTAATGATTTTTTATAAATTATAAATGTGTATTATTATTCCATCTTTAAAACTTTACAGAATCAGAGGTAAAGCTATTGAAATGATGAATCCTCAGACCAAACAGTAGAAAGAAGAGTAAATATTTAGATGAGTAAAATTAACCATGTGACCTTTCTCCCTAAAATTTTGCTTCTCTGTGATTACAAAATTTTTGCCAAAGTCAAAAGACATGTTTAAATTAAATTTATTTAGAGAAGAGTGTTTTGAGGCCTGGGGGAAAAAAAACAACAAACTAATACTTCTTTTCAAAATTATGTTTAAAAATAAATATTTATTTTTATTGATTTCAGAGAAAGAAGGGAGAAGGAGAGAGATAGAAACATTAATGATGAGAGAGAATCATTGATTGGCTGCCTCCTGCTCGCGCTCCCTCTCCCCCCGAGGATTGTGCTCACAACCTGGGCATGTGCCCTGACTGGAAATCAAACCATGTTCATAGGTTGATGCTCAACCACTGAGCCACACCAGCCAGGTTCAACTTTTAATTTAGCAATAAAGGAATCCCATATCAAGAATGAACAAGAAAATTCACGAAGAGATAAATTCTCTATTCTATTTTCTGTTAGGTGTTTTTATTGCATAATTTTTTTATTCATCTGAAATTTGTGTTTTTGTGAAATTGGAAGTGAGAAATTATTTTTATAATCTTTTAGATTTATTTATAGATGTATTGGATGGTGAGTAATTTTTAGATTAATTTGGGGAGGCAGAGGTGAATTGTTTATGCCAGCACTTGTGGTACTTCACTGTCAATTTGGTTGTTATGCCACTGCATAGTACTAATAGAAATAGCTGGTATTTATTGAATACTAGGAGCTCTGAGCACAATTCGAAATCACATGGTGCTGCCCACCCGCTAGTCGCCAGCCCTTGAAGCAGTGTGGCCACTGCTGATCAGGCCCTCCCCCAGCACAGGCACATGGAGGTCCCTTCCTCCCCTCCCCCAACTCTGCGTGGGCCACCTCCTCCTGTCTGGTCTACCCATTATGGCGTCTCGGTCCCGGTTAATTAGAGTATTGCTCTATTATATATATTATGTGTTAGACATTGTACTGAGTTCTTTATGGGGATTATCATTTGATTACTACAACAACTTTCCATGATAGATACTATATAGATACCCAATTTAGAGAGGAAAAAACAGAAACACCGGGATTAAGTAATTTACCCTAATCACATGGCTATCAAGTAGCCAAACTGGGATCTGAATTTAGCCAGGTCTGACTCTGGATCCATTTCCTTAATCACCATATTTTATTCCAGGAAACTTCTTTCCAGTTCAAGATTCTAGGAAGAATTGTTTTTTATGGTTTTATTCTGAATTGCATCCTTTTCTCTTTTTATATGTCTATCCATTACAAGGATGTAAATTTTTGGAAGAGGCTTTTGATATAACTTTCAGTCAATATCAGTGACATCACCTGAACTCCCAGATAATGTATAGCTGATCATTTCTTCTGACTTAGCAGATAATTTTATTTAAAAAATTTTTATTTTATTTTATTTTATTTATTTTTACATATTTTATTGATTTTTTTTTGCCCCCCTCCTTCCCTCCCACATATCCCCTCCCTCTCCAGAGTTTTATGTCCATTGGTTGTACTTATATGCATGTATACAAGTCCTTGGGTTGATTTATTATCTCCCCCAGACCCTCTTCCCCTCCCCGTTGTAATTTGACAATCTGCTTGTTGCTTTACTGTCTCTATATCTATCTTTTGGTTCATCAGTTTATAATGATCTTTATTATCCACAAATGAGTGGGGTCATGTGGTGTTTCTCTTTCATTGATTGGCTTATTTCACTCAGCATGATGTTCTTCAATTCCATCCAGGTTGCTGCAAATGATGAGAATTCCTTCTTTTTTATGGCAGCATAGTATTCCATTGTGTAGATGTACCATAGTTTTTGGATCCAATCATCAGCTGACGGGCAGCTAGGCTGTTTCCAGATTCTGGCTATTGTAGATTGTGCTGCTATGAACATAGGGGTGCATATATCCCTTCTGATTGGTGTTTCTAGTTTCTTGGGATATATTCCTAGGAGTGGGATTACTGGGTCAAATGGGAGTTCCATTTTCAGTTTTTTGAGGAAACTCCACACTATTCTCCACAGTGGTTGCACCAGTCTGCATTTCCACCAGCAGTGCACGAGGGTTCCTTTTTCTCCACAACCTCGCCAACACTTGTCGTTTGTTGATTTGTTGATGTTGGCCATTCTGACAGGTGTGAGATGGTACCGCATTGTTGTTTAGCAGATAATTTTAAAAAATATTTTATTTAAGCAAAGCAATATATGTATATTATGGTAAAGTCAGATAATATAATACTACAGACTTGTGAACATCCAATTTTTTGTGTGTGTCTGTTTTATATTTATTAATTTAAATGACATTTTAATACAGCTATTTTTGATTTTTCAGTTTAGACTTTATGTATTAACTTTCTATCCTGGAAAATAAGCATGTGCAACCCACTCATCAGCTTCCCAGCACTCCTTCCCACCAGACACACACACACACACACACACACACACACACACACACACGCACTTTGCTTCCTTCCTCCTTCAAGTTGTTGTAATCTTTGGTCTCTTTTGAGTCCTCAAATTTGGTCATTTTTTCTCTCTTTTTCCCATTCTAAATCTATATTTCAGTGAAATTCAAACCTCTTTCCTAAAATTCAAAAGTATATCTTTACTTATATATGGGTTGTTACCTCAAAGGCAAGTCAGATTTTACATGTTCCAGATTAAACCTTCATCTTACCTTGAAAACCCGCTTCTTTTTCTGGCTTGATGAAGACTCCCTCCTTCCCTCCCGTCATCCAAGCAGAAACCTAAAACGTATCTTAAACTCCCTTTTCTCCTTTCTCTTTCCCTTTCATCACCAAGATCCATCAATGCTTCTTAATTAACATGTTTTAATGTTCTTTCTGTAGCTACTACCTTAATTACATTGCTTATGCTGCCTGTTTTCGGATTTTCATTCTTTCTTGCCTGGATTTTTTCACTCTTATTTCTGACTTATTCATTCTACCTCCAATCTTGAGTTGCCCTATACTCGTGTCCTCACTGCTGCCAGTGATCTTCCTGAAACAGTAAATGCTACTTCCATTATTAAAATCCTTTAAAGATTCCAAATGAGGATAAGACTCCAGAAACATCAGTATGGTATACAAATTCTATGCCCTCTAACTCCTGCCTGCATATCACTCTGTATCTCAATGTTAAAACTTAGAGATAAAAATGTATTTAACTCTTGTAACCGAGAGTTAAAGTTTGTGCTATTTGGTCTTATAATAGGCTGGTGGTGATAGGGAATCACAATAATCTTTGAGTCCAATAGACTGACAAGGAAGAAATCTAAGAATCCATTCTCACACTTACCTCCCCACTGCCAGATTTTCATTTAGCCATGCTGGCTATAGTTTGGCTGCATTTCTCCCTTTGCCAGTGGGTGCCACCATAAAATGCATACTGTACTGCACCTGAAAAAAAGAGGTTTCAGGTTTCATAGTTCACATGTTTAAAATTCTGTATTTCAAGTTTATTACACAATAAATCTTCGATGGCACACTTGAGTTATATATATTGGACTAAATGTTATGCATTAATAGAATATTAAATCTGGTTTAACTTTTCCAGTTCAGAGTTTCATTTAAATATTTTTCGGAAGCATTTGATACATTTTATGTAGCACCTTTAATTATATTTAACTAGAGGCTCGGTGCACAAAATTTGTGCATTTTGTGAGCGGGGGTGGTATTCCTCAGCCAGGCCTGCACCCTCTGACAGTCTGAGAGCCCTTTGGGGAATGTCTGACTGACGGATCAGCTGGACATCCTTAGCACTGTTGCGGACGGGAGAGTCTCCCACCACTGCCGCTGCATTTGCCAGTGGTGACCTCAGCTTCTGGCTGAGTGGTGTTCCCTCTGTGGAAGCACACTGACCACCAGGGGGCAGCTCCTCCATTGAGCATCTGCCCCCTGGTGGTTAGTGCGCATTATAGTGACTGGTCATGTTGCTGTTTGGTCAAGAACTAGCGTCTCAATGCATAAAATTCATCCATGGGTGTGTGTGTGTGTGGGGGGGGGGGGGGTGTTTCCCTTCAGTCCTGCCTGTACCCTCCAATCCATCCCTCTTCCAATCTAGGACCAATGGCTCCTAATTGCTCATTTGTTTGCCTGCCTGATCGCCCCTAACCACCTTTGCCTGCCAGCCTGATGCCCTTAACTGCTCCTCTGCCAGCCCTATTGCCTCTAACTACCTCTGCCTGCCAACCTGATCACCCCTAACTGCCCCTGCCTACTGGCCTGATCACTCCCTAATTGCTCCCCTGCCAGCCTGATCACTTCTAACTGCTTTTGCCTGCTGACCTGCTCGCCCCTAATTGCCTCCACCTATTGGCCTAATCACCCCCTAACTGTTCCCCTGCTGGTCTGATCGCCCCAACTGCTCCTCTGTTGGCCTGATTGCCCCTAACTGCTCCCCTGCTGGCCTGATCGCCCCCTAACTGCCCTCCCTTGCTGGCCTGATGGCTCCCTAACAGCCCCTGCCTGCTGACCTGATTGCCCCCTAACTGTTCCCTGCTGCCAACCTTATTGCCCCTAACTGTTCTTCCCTGCTGGCCTGATCACCCCTAACCACCACTGCCTCAGTCCCTGCCACCATGGCTTTGTCTGGAAGGATGTCTGGTCTAATTAGCATATTACCCTTTTATTAGTATAGATTGTTTTATATATATATATGTGTGTGTGTGTGTGTGTGTGTGTGTGTGTGTGTGTATATATATATATATATATATATATATATATATATATATATTTTATTTTATTTTTTTAAATTCACACCCCAGGATATGTTTTTATTGATTTTGGAGAGAGTGGAAGAAAGAAAGAGAAACTTGTATGTGAGGGAAACAGGGATTGAAAGTAAATCCCCAACCTAGTTATGTTCTCTGACTGGGAATCCAACCCTCAACCTTGTGGTTTATGGGATAATGCTTCGATCAACTGAGCCACCTGGACAGGGCTGGAGATATAATTTATTTTAGCAAAGAGTTACCAAATTCATGAAGATGGTGAGGAAAAGCCAATCACTCTCTATGGTAGAGAGTTGGCAATTACCTTAAAGTATTACCTACCAATCATTTGTCTTTTTTATTGCTTATTGTTCTCATTCAGTCACTATGTTTTGATACAAGCTTTGGGTTTAATGTCTTTTTTCCTCACTAGCTTCATTTTCCCCCTCTTTCTGCTCCAGGGCTTGGATGTGATGCATTTAGTAGTCAGGTGCTGCAGTTTACCTTTCTTACCTAAATTCTATTAATGTTTATCCAGCATAGTCATAATGTGTCTTCTGGGAAACCTTGAGTATCTCCTTGTTTTCTGCCCTTCTCACTCAAATTCTCTATTCCTTTAGTATCTTTTATCATATGTTCAGTTTTGACCTTTTAAAGAGAAAGGTTTTATTCATTTTGTATTTGTAGTGCCTAACACAATTGTCCTGACTTCATTTGAGTTAAAACTTCAGGAGTTTCTGTGCTATTAAGCCTCTGTGCTATTGAACAGATATTTGGAGAGTTAATGGTTGGCTAGTGCATAGTGAATGCATAGCAACAGACTAGGCATGACACTGGTGCTTGGTGATTTTTGCCAGGGATAAAAATATTGACAAATCTTAAATACAGTTCTTATAATATTTTTTCTAAATAAAATACAATCAGTGAATTATATTTTAAAATTTAGCATATTTGTTCTTGTGGAAAGAATGCGAAAAGGGAGGCAAAGGAGACTTAAAGCTTTGTTTATTGGTGTGTTATTGTTTGTTTGTTTTTGTTCTTATATTTGACTAAGACAATCTTTCATATCTTGTTATCTTTTTGAATCTTTTCCAAAACATTTCCATTAGAGATTACTTCCCAGAAAAAACACAGAATGTTAATTGTGTATTCATTTTGGCTATATGTAATCCAGTTACTTCCATGCTTTAGATTGAAAAATTAAGAAAACATTAGCTGAAAAAGAAAGTGCCGTTATGCTTAAGAATTCCTAGAGTCTACTGATTACGGTTGTATGGCAGACTAGGTTGGCTGATTGACCCTTCCTTTCACAGTAATTAACAATGCTGGATTACAGATTTTTTAAATGCTTCTCAAATACATTGATGAGCAGGCAAATGCAATGAGAATGCAGACAAAAACTAGGGGAAGGAAGAAAGCCAGAAAGGAAGTCAAGAAGGGAAGCCAGCTTTTATTTTGAGGTCATTTGCTGTATTTGGTGATTTGGAGAGTCCATTCTTATAGCTACCAATGTCTGTGGGCACAGATGACAAAGTCGAAGGACTTTCCAAGGTGAGGAGCATCTTAGGACATACCCATCCTTCACAGCCACCCCTTCAGTGTAAAATGAAGTAAGACGAAGAGTTTTAACTTGATAAAGGGTTTCTGTGAAAACCTACTTGATGGTAAAATATTTTAGCATTATATTTAAGATTTAGAACAAGAATTCTTGCTCTCATAATTTCTTTTTAACATAGAAGATGCCCAAGTCATCTTATAGTAAGGCAAGAAAAAGAAAAAGCAGATATAACAATTGAGAAGGAAGAAGTAAAACTCTAATTGATGACGATATGATTATTTATGTAGAAAACTCTAAGAACCAGAAGAAAAATGATTAAAATTAATAGAATTTATCAGTGTTTATAGGCAAAAGGGTTATTAAACAAATAGCAATCTTTTATATTTTATATCTTATACCACCACCAAATAGAAAATGTTAAAAAGTTGCATTGAAGAGCCCTAGCCAGTTTGGCTCAGTGGACAGTGTCGGCCTGCAGACTGAAGGGTCCCAGGTTTGATTCTGGTCAAGGGCACAGACCGTGGTTGCAGGCTCAATGTGTATGAGAAGGCAACCAATTGATCTGTCTCTTTCACATCAGTGTTTCTTGTTTCCACTCTAAAAATCAATGGGAAAATATCCTTAGGTGAGGATTAACAACAACGACGACAACAACAAAGTAGCATCAAAGATATAAAGCACATAGAACCTATAATATTAATAATAAAAGGGTAATATGCTAATTAGACCGGACTTCTTCTGAACGTTCTTTCCAGCCCAGGTCCGGGTGCCTGCTGGTGACTGGAGGAGGGCAGCCAGGGGAAGGAAGGCCTACTCTTGCACAAATTTTCATGCATCGGGCCTCTAATAGATCAAATAAAAGCCATAATAGCTTTTTCCCCCTTGGAAGGTTCAGGCACAATCTAAAAGTCAAACAGGGCTTTGTGACCTGACCTTGGTACTACTAGAGATTTTTGTCCTTAGATAAACTTCATGCATTCTGCTTGCTTACCACTCATAGCTTCCAATTTTCCACTCCAACTCTTTTTTTTTTTTTTTCCTTTTTGAGGGGAGAGATTGGGTGATACTTAGAGATTTCCTCCTATTCCTGCCAGACTCAGTAATATGTTCCCCCAGAGTGTCTAGAATCCAGTAGATGTCCCATAAGTGTTTTTATATATTGCAATAATAATATGGATCATAGCACAATATATATTTTTTATCTTGAGTATTAAAAACTTAAAATTGTCATATGTCATAGTAGTCAATTTATTCAACAAACATATCAGTCATCTTCTATGTGCCAGAAGTAAACTGGTAATACGAAGATTAGAAAAATATAGTTCCTTTTGCCCTGGCCAGGTGGCTCAGTTGGTTGGAGCATCATCCCATACACCAAAAGGTTTGGGTTCGATTCCTGGTTGCGAGTCCGGTCTGGACGCATACGGGAGGCAACCCATTGGTGTTTCCTTCTCACATGGATATTTCTCTTTCTCTCCCCCACCCCGTTTCTTTCTAAAATCAATAAAAATCCTTGTGTGAGGATTAAAAAAAAAATACGGTTTCTTTCTCAAGGAGCTAATTTTTTTCATAAAATGTTTCCCAAGCTTGTCATAAAAATCACTTATGTTACTTTTAAAACAATGCAAGTCCTTCTCTGGAGAGTGTGATTCAATAGGGTGGGATCTGGAATTGATCTTTTTTTTTTTTTTTTTTTTTTACAGAGAGGAAGACTGAGGGATAGAAAGTTAGAAACATCGATGAGAGAGAATTATCGATCAGCTGCCTCTTGCACACCCCCTACTGGGGATGTGCCCGCAACCAAGGTACATGCCATTGACCAGAATCGAACCCGAGACCCTTCAGTCCGCAGGTCGAAGCTCTATCCAGTGAGCCAAACCAGTTTTGGCTGGAATTGATCTTTTAAACTAATGCTGACTATTTTTCCTTTTTTTGGGGGGGGAGAGGGGAAAGTGGGTGGTACTTGGAGATTTGGGGGAACTGCAACCCAAATTTATTCAGGTTCAGGCTTAGTATAAAGAAACAATTGAGTTCATGTTTTTTAAAACACCTATTTGCTGGCCATAATTGGTCGAGTCTCAGGTTCGCTTTAGATGACCAGGCAAGTTTGGGAGAACTGGTCTAATGTACTATTGCATATTAAGTCTCTAATTTTTTTCTGACTCCCCTTTTCTATTTGGACCAGCTATTTAAATATGAACAATTATATTTCCAATGATGGTTAGGGAACCTGGCTTGTTTCTAACACATAACATCTGGCAGTGAAGCAGTGAGAATGAAAACTTTAATTCATAATTTCCTTTCTGGCACTATAAAATTCACGGAGATGTTAAACAGCTTACTCAAGATAGAAGGTGAGAAAGCTGCGATTTGTGCTCAGGTAGTGTGACTCCACACTCAGACCACACCCGCTTCTCAACTGGCACAGTGCAGCCTTTCCAACCGAGATGGAGATCTCCCAACCTCAAAAAAAGCCCCCTTCTGTTGTTGACACCTGTAATTTTTTTCTTGTAATGGACACAAATCCTTCCCTCTATACATTTCTCACATTGGTTTTAGGTCTGCTTTATAGAGCAGGAACTGCAACCCACATGTATTCTGGTTCAGACTTAGAATAATGAAACCTGTGTTTAGGCCGTTTTATAAAAACACTTACCTGTGGGCTGTAGTTGGTTTAGTCTCTGGTTTGCTTTAGGTCCGTACTAACTAGCTTGCTTTCCTCTTTCATGTAATCACTCCTCATACGATAGTGCAATATTATGTGTTCCAGGACAGTCTCCTTCCCTTCCACCTCCTTCCTAGCCCAGAGCAGTGCATATTCTTGGATAAGCTACTTAAGCTACATTTTGAGACCAATTTTCTCATCTGTGACTTACGAGAAATAATATTTACTGAATTGGTTTTAAGATTAAAGTGAGGTAGGATTCTAGGTATTCAGTGAAAGGCAGCTTTGTTACCTTAGTTGTGTCGAAAGGTACATATTTTAAGTATATTGTGTATATATAACTGCATTGGAATCTGTCATATATAACTAAGTTATTTTCCTTTAGCTTTCAAATAAAGAAAGAAGTAAGTTACCTTGTTGAAATGACTTTTTCATTTTGCTTCTAATGGTTCTCATCCTTTTCTCAAGTGTGTTACTGTTTGATTTTTAAGAACAAAGCCATAATCTTTGAAAAGTGTTGATTAACTCTGAGAACTATGTTGTCAAGCTTATACGCACATTGTCATTTCTAATACTATTATATATAAAGACCATCTTATTCCCATTTTCAGCATTGCAGGGAGTCGGTTACTCTCCGTGATAAGGATGCAGGTGACTAAAGGCCATAGCAACAGGGATCCTTTTTATAAAGCAGTGGAGGAGGTTTCTCAGGATTTGGATTTGAGGATTAAAGATATTATCAATTCTCAACAACGGGATTTAGCTGTTAGCACCACTGACGTCAGTCCTGCACGGGTAATGAGCTTTTTATATTTTATTATCCTTCTGTGTATAAAACATCTCCTCTTCTATTTGTTGTTTGAAAAAAATGGTTTGCTATTGCTACTTAAGTCAGAGGAATGTGTTTCCCGTGTTATGTTGTTAAAAGTTTAAGTTCTCAATAGGATTATGTAGGATTATGTGGGCGTTTGGTAAATCATAATATCTTTGGACCAAATTGACTGTGTTTGTTAAAGTAGGGCATTGGATAATCTTCAGTAGCCCTTGGAGCACCAACAATTTATAATTCTCGATGGATACTAAGGTGTTCTGTCATATTTTTAAATAATTATTCTTTGAATCTATTATTTTCTCTTCGGTTTTTCTGGTTCTGACCTCAGCACTAGGCACTTAATAGAAGAGCAACAAAAATGGTTTCTATTCAGTAGTTTATTTTTCTTTTACAGAATTTTTCTATTTCTGATTTCTTATCTTCTACCTCCATTGCAGTGTACTGTGAACATTCAGAATTTCTCCTATACTTAGAAATATTTTAACTATATATTTCTAGGACATTCACCTCTCCCCCCCCCCCACCCCCTTTTTTTTAACATAGATTTTTGAACATTAATGCAGTATTATAAGTATGGTATTATAGGAAAAATTTTCTACCTTGCTTTTAGCTCTCAAACACAATTCTGAAGTATCTGTTAAAATCCATTTGTTACAGTTTATTTATTCCAGTAACAAAAGCCCCTTTTCATTAATTGTGATTTTGAGAGCTAGTGAAGGACTTTTGCTTATTTTTTGAAGAAGGACTTTTGCTTATTTTTTATTACTTATTTTATTCACATCCCCTAGGGACTATTTTTAGATATTTCTTGATAACTGCCTGTTTTTAGATTAATTTGATGGGGGAGATTCTGAGTTGTTCTCTATATGGCCTATGTATATTAACAGTTCCTGTGATTGGCTTGGCTCAAATGACAGCCAGGTTATTACTACCAGTTAAATCAGGAATTGTCACAACTTAGATAATTAAGAGCATCAATCTCTGCTATTTCTAGTCACAAGAAATATAAATGCAAACAACCTGCTTCTTAATTGTATGTTTTTCACCAAATCAGAAATATTTGAAAAATCTGATTCAGTAATTCTCCTTGTTGTTAATATTACACAATATGGACCTATCTGGTGTTGATGAAAATATATTTGTTAAGCACTAGGTTGTGATAGATAATTGGTTAAAATTCCAGTGTAGGTGTATGTTATAGCTTACCAAATCCTGAGCCTGAGTCAGCCAAGTAGAGAAAGGAGGCCAAGACCATGTTGGTGAAAGCTGGGGAGTGTCCCAGAAAGGGCAGCTTTGATATCGAGGTATAGTGCCCAGCAACACTATTGGTTAGGCACTCTAAATACCCATGTTTTACCAATGATTTAACTGAAGCACATTAAGGTCCAGCAACTGTCCCAGACTTACACAGCACATACAACTAGTAAGTTGGTGTCAAAATCAGATGGAAATGCCTTCAGAGTCTGTGCTTACATGTATTTATGTATAATGTTTCATTATATATTTTTGCTTATTCTTCTATCTGATCATCAAGTTTTTCCAGCTCTCCTCTCTTAATCTGCTTTTTCTTAATCTCCACTGCTACTATCTTCTTCAATTCTAAGATGGATTATTTCAGTCTCTTAATTTTTCTGTTCTCAGATTTAATAACATTCTTACCCTGGAATATATTTTACACATTACCATCATTTTTCTAAAATCTAAATAGTATTGTTTTACTTCCTTGCTTAATAAACCAAGAGATTTTTAACAGACTGACTTATAACCTCTTTGCCTGATACACAAAGCTTTCCCAGGCTCATGTCAGGTAACTTCCTCTCTGTTACCCTGTACTTCAGCTATATCCTACTCCACGGTCCCTGAAAATACCTTGCTCTCTCCTGTGCCTGTGTGTCTCCTTCTCTATGAAGCCATTCTTGATTCCATCGTAAATGGATCACTGCCTTTTGTGTCCTCCCAATGCACCATGTGTACCTTATGTTACAAATAGCACTTAGCACTGTGGATGCAATTATTGCTTACTTATTTTATTAAGGAGAATGTGGGTTCCTAGTGGCAATGGTTTTTACCTTGGTAGTCTTATCTTCAAACACAGTGCTTGGGGTCTTGGTATGTACTGGTTAATGATTACTGAATGAATGAGAATCAACTAGTTTTTCATTTTTGCATTTGAGTAGATCTTTCTAGCCATTCGTGGGGTTGGTATTTAGATCAACAGAACCCCATCTCTCTTTGGTATAAGAGAGAAAAATATTGAGAAGTTAAATCCTGAGGGAGGTCGCATAGGAAGGTAGTAGGTAAATTTTCTGACTTAAAAACCCGATGTTATTTTGACCGGAACCTAATGTCTTTCTTTTTGATGATACTATTTTTTTTTTTTTTTAATATTCTTTTGTGCTTCTGGAAGTTGATAAGATTGATTGTAGTATGGCTTGAGGAAGAAATAGTCTCATGCCTGAAAGCCATGTCTTATGGAGGATCTTTTATTAAACAACAGAGCAGGAAGGAAAACCGTGGCGCATGAAATGGAAAAGTGACTGATCGACCCCACCAGGATGATTATAATGTTTACTTACAATTATTTTTTGTTCAAGCCAAAATCTTATGCCATAAACCATGGCACTGCATACTGTGGCAGAGATACCGTGAAACTTTTATTGGTTCTTTTGGATGAAGAAGCAGCCAGTGTTCCTACCAAAAACAAAGCAGAGCTTTTATATGACGATGAATACACCATTGATCACAATGGAACGTCTATTCTTACACTTTTCAGGTAAGTCATGGGGAAGCTATATGTATGTGAATGTTAACCCTAAGGAATTTTTGAAAAAGCACCTCATTGATTATAAAACAAATGCATGCTATGGTAGGAAACTTGGAGACTGGATAAGTATGATTAGAGAAAACTACAGTTAGTTAAGAGGAGATTGAACACTTGAATGTGAAAAAGTTATATATACTAGTAAAAAGGTATATTTTGTAAGAGTATGACAGGTGTTCTTTTATTTCGTTGTTTTTTGCTTTGGAAATATTTATTTGCTTTGCTATGTGTGCCAAGCACTTGGCTAAATGTCTTCATTTATATTATCTCAGCGCTCATAACAACCTCTTTTAATAATCCTCACTTTTTAAGTGAAGAATTAGAGGCTTGAGGGGTATGTTAAGTCATTTGCCCAAGAGAGCTATGTTAGCAAGCAGCAAAGGTATCTTTCTCTGAAGCCTGGGTTCTCTGCTCCAAGGACTATGCTATTTTGCCTGAGAAAAAGAGAGAGAATAACACTAAACTTTCATTGGAGTTGACATTTTTCTTCCTCACATTGTGAAGAAAAATACTAAATTAATGTTGGTATTTCATGCAAGACATTGATACCATCCAGTTTTGACAACAGTTAGGTCAAAATCCAATAGGTTGATGATATTTTTAATTAATGCATGTTCATTTATAGAAACATTAAAAATTTTAGCACGACCATTTAAACTGTATTTAGTCACTAAATTTTAGTGCATTGTGGAGAATTTTTACAATGTCATCCTATTATTCGATCTTTTCTATTTCCTGTTTGAGCTACTTTTTAGAAATCTAATTTTAGTCTAAAATGGTTCATATATATCCATGCATGATTGCTTCATGCAATCTTTCTCCCGTGCCTCACTGTCTTTTGTCTTTGAAGAGAAAGGTTAATGATCGATAATTCAGTTGTATCCTATAACTCTTTTAAATGTTGTCTTCTTCTCCAGCTTCCCATGATTATTCTTTACTATTGAGCATGATATAATTCTTTCACATTCTACCTTAGAAATGCCCAAATAGTTTCCTAACAGTGGAGATTTATTTTATCCTTGATTTGTTTGTACCCTGTGTTAGAATCCCAGAAATGGGTATTAAGAAAATGAATCTGTGTGTGTGTGTGTGTGTGTGTGTGTGTGTGTGTGTGTTTCTTTCTCCTTTTACCTTCTGTTTAACAAGAATTTCTCTTTAGGTAGAAATATAAATGATTTAAATTTTCTCTCATTCTACCATTTTCTATTTTGTGTTAATAGAATATTTTAAAACGATATGAGTCCCACATCCATTTTGAAGAAGTATTTTAATGTATTGAAACATGTAGCCAAACACATTTTAATTGTTTCCAGTTACCTTGGCACTGCCATTGTCCTTGTGTGGACAGGCACCTTTCATGGTAGAGTGAAATTTTAATGGTCTCGTTGAAATAGTAAAATTAAGGACAATGTGTATAAATATAGTCAATATAAGGTCAATATAAGGTTATTCTTGACTTTCTTAGAATAAATATTCTTTAGTCTTATATAATGGTTTCTTGAGTCACAGGGTCTCTGGCTCTGTGGAGCCAAATAAGAACTTACTAGGGAATCCACATTTTTCTGGCTCCAAAGCTCCAGTATCTATTTCTCCATTGCACCTTCTCTAACCCTTCTATTTATAAACTCTGCTTCCTCTGCTATGACACTTAGCCTTTTTAATTTTGAATTTTAGTTAGGTGGGTGTCTTTTTTTTTTTTTTTTTTTTTTTTTTTTTTTTTTTTTTTTTTTTTTTTTTTTTTACTTAGACTTCATGAATCCTGAATTTAGGGCCAATGAATGAATAAACTTTCTATTCACAGGATGTTACACAGTGGCTTACATATAGTAGAAGCTCAAATATATAGTGACTGAATTAAGCAAATTATTAATATTTAGAACTGTCAGAATAGGAATACTGATATTTTTATATAGTATGATAAACACTGGATTCAGTAGTCTTTTATTATGTAACCTCTTTTGGGTAGGAGAGCGTGAAAACTAGATTTTAAAAAGCTATTTTGGTTTATAAAATTTTGCTTTATTTGGACATAGATCTCCCATACAAGTGAATAATTCATTGGTGAAACCACTAAGAGAGCGCATCCATAAGTCAATGGAAGAGAAAAAAATTAAGGTACAATTTAATGTATTTTCATGAAAATGATAAAAATTGTTTTATTTTTAGAAGAAATATATGAAGTTGAACTGGGTATAATCAGTTTACATTGTGCATGGAACAATAGGAATTAAGTGGAAAATGAGTTAATGACAGTTTACATACAGAAACATTTCTTTTATACAGTATTGTCTAATCTGTCTCTGGCTTAATAATTTCATGGGCCTAAAAAGGAAAGGAATAAGTAATGGCTACCATTGAGTTTTTAAGAAATATCTGCTTAATGAATGAAGGAGAAAATAAAGGAATATGTTTTCTCATTTACATTCCTGTATCTTAAACTGAATCCCGAGGCTGCATGGTTTCAGTCTAGACATAATGCCAGAATATAATTAATTGTAGATTGTGACAAAGAGAACATTTGACATGGTATATTGACCAGAGCTGTTCTTTATATTTTCATTTGTTTTTCCCATTCTCATTTGAAACATTTATTTCTATAAGTAGTGAATAATGTGTTTTTAAGTGTTTAAAAATTATTTTGGTCTTATTTTTCAAAATGATACTCAATATTAACTCATTCGTTTATTCAACATACATTTATTGAATATCTACTATGTGCTAGGTAATCTTTTATGATAGGGAATTCATTCATTTGTTTAACAAATTTTTCATGTAAAAGTTATAGTTATCCTTAAACTGTCAAATAATTATTCATTTTGATACAACTTTGAGAACTCTAAATTGTATGTTCTTTATATTCCCATTTAGAAAGTTAGTTCCAATTAGCAAAGCTTTTAGTTTTCATCTATTTCATTTATATATCCCAACCCCATCTAGTTTATTTATACATATTAGTAAATCTTATATTTTCATTGATTATTAGTAGTTGCTAATAACTAATAATTGTGGAATGCATCATTGAGTTTTATGCAATGTTTCTGTGAATAAAATTTGTCAACTCTTTGTAATATTAATTGTAAGTACTGTAATTGAAGCATGACATTAAAAAACACACACATTTATTCTTTGGACTTGATTAGAAATGTAATATAAATTCTTTAACTTTTTTCCTGCTATGGATACTGACAGACTTTAATATTTTCATTTAAAGATCATTGAGATATTTTGTTAGAACTAAGAAAATCAAAATGAAAATATTTATCTGAAAAATGAAAAGGGTTTGTTTTTTGTTATAGAAATTGGTAAGTCAACTAATTACTATAAAATGCATAGATTAATTTATAGAGAAATTTAGGAAATTTTGGGAGTAGAAGAGAGATTGTCTAGTCCAGTCTCATTTATAAACAAGGAGACCAAAATCCTGAGAAAGGACCTATTCCAGATCTTATAACTATCCAGATATATTCTATGCCAGTGTATAAAGCCATGGTTAAATACTAATGAGATTATAATACATTGTTTTTGTAATTCAGTAGTGGAGCTGGCTTAGTCTACATAGCTCTGAATCTAAATGGCAATAGAAAATTGAAGGAATTGGTGTTTGTAATTATATTTGACAGTACAGTATTCTTTATAAAACCAAAGTGTGAAAATAATTGGGTTAGCCAGGTATATAGCTGAATCATGGCCAGATAGAATAATTGTTGGAATAATAAAAAAATGTTGCTAATATTTACTATTAAGTAACTATGGAAAAGTAGCTTAACAGCTAATTACCTTATTATCCTGTTACTTTTGCTCTTGGCATACAATTTTTTTTTTTTTTTTTTTTTTTTTAGTCATGGAAAGAATATATAATTTACACTTGAAAAACTGTCTTGGAAAGAGCACTCACTGCAAAGGTAGAAAATATTAGAGAACTTAGAATGTGGCTGTTGTAGATAATACTTGATTTTGAAATATCCATGTCATGATAATGGAGCAGATTAACTTCTTTAATATTTTTGTTTTCTCAATCAAAAATAGAAATAGATACTTCTCTGAACATAAAATCCTATTAAATCCATTATGGAAAGTATTTATTAATATAATAATTTTTAGTCCTCAAGTATTAAGTCTTATTGTAGTTTATTAGGAAACTTGTCTAGTATGGGCAAACAAATTTTTTTATGAAGGAAATCAGAAGCTTCTTCCAGAACCTTTATAGTTTGGGTAGTAACCATTAGGGAATGTTTTCTCCCCATTTCCATGCAATTTATGTAAGTACCTTTTTTTAAACCTTTTAAAAAATTAAATTTATTGGGTTGACATTGGTCAACATGAACATATAAGTTGCTGGTGTGGGTTCTATATTATGAGATCTATATATTGCACTGTGTGCCCACCACCCAAAGTGAGATCTTCTCCTGTCACCATATATTAGGACCTCCTTTTCCCTCCACCCCCTATACTTTTCATTAAAAATTTTTCAAGAAGATAATTACCTCCTTATATTTCTGTAAATAAATTTGTTTCATTCCTTCCACCTTGATGTAGCAGTATTTTCAACAATGGGCACAACTGAAAGGTCATATTTATGGGCCTTTTCCTTATTTCCTTATATTTTATGTATGTCAGAATTATCATCTGTGTTAACTGATCTAATAAATTAAGTGAGCTGATCAAGAAAATACTGGATCTTTAAAACATGGAATAATTGAGACAGTGGACATTTGTACTTATATAGTGTGAAAAAAATTCACTGCTATAATGGTACCTTTGTAAGCTGCCAGGAAGTCCAATACTCATGATGTTAGGAAATTCTTAATCAAATATCCAGGTTTCACCTTTAAGGTATTAGAAAACTCACTGTATATTCAAATTAAAATGGACTTAGTTCAACTCATAGAATTTCCCTCCTTTTAAAATTAGACTTAAAAGGAGTACAAAATAGTAAAAATTAGCAAAAATATTCACCAAAAGCAAACAAGGTAGAATAATGTAATTAGATATAATAAACTTCAAAAATGATGGCCAAGGACAAGAAAGGGAAGATTTCAGAATGAAGAGGCACAGCATGACTTAATGACTTAAACTATTCTAGTATCCAAATATCGTACTAGGGAGTTGACAAAAATCCTGAGAATTATTATAATACTAGAGGCCTGGTGCATGAAGTTTGTGTATGGCAGGGAGGGGGGGGTCCCACTCAGCCCAGCATACACCCTCTCTAATCTGGGACGTCACTTTCATAATCCAGGACCGTTGGCTCCTAACTGCTCACCTTCCTGCCTGATCTCCCCTAACTCCTCCCCTACACCAGCCTGATCACCCCTATCCACCTCTGCCTGCCAGCCTGATCAACCCTAACTGCCGCCCCCAGTCAGTTTAGTCACCCCACGCAACCTGCTGTTCAGTAGTTTGGTCATCCCTCACTAGCCCCCTGCTGGCCTGGTCACCTCATACAGCTTGCTGTTCATTTGTTTGCCCCTCACTAACTTCCCTGTCGGCCTTGTTGCCCCATGTAGCCTGCTGTCCAGTCGTCGGTCTGGTTGTTTTGGTCATGATGGCCCCTTGCTTTTTATGTATTAGGATTTCCAGAACTGAGGAGCCAACTAAAAGCGTATGTTCTTGTTTTTGTTTATTTATTTTTTTTTTCCTTTCTTGCCAGAGAAATAGTAGAAGTGGCAACTGCATTGTAATGTGGAAAAGGAACCCTGGGACTTACACACTTACTCTATTGCGACATACAGAATTGGAAAATGATGCAAATAATCTCCTTCTGTTTGTATGAGAAACAGTCCCTAAGCAGGGACAGTGAATCTTCTCAGAGTATATATAATATGTAATAAACTCTTAGAAGAGAGTGCAGAACCCAGAATTTTTTTTTTCAAATTGCACATCTTCTCAGCTGAACCTTACTTCTGCCTCTGCCGTTGCTCTAGCTACAGGAAAATTGGGGATAATAAAGTATGCAGCCTTCAAAATGTAACTGACGAGAAAGTAAAATGCTCTCGAATAAGGAGGGAACAGAATCAAGAAATCACTCCCAGACTTGGGAGACTTCTGTTTCTAACTAGGATATGGTAGGTCATAGCAGAATGCCATTTCTACTGTAAAACAAAATAAAAGGCAGAAAAAATGGGGAAAATATATCTTAAAGACATAGACAAAGCTATGTAACCAAAGCAGTTTAAATAAACTAAAAATTCTGAGGTGAGCCAGCCATTATTAGCTGATTCTTCCCTGGATTATTTGCCAGTGTGGGGAGTGACCTGAAGACTGGTATTGGCCCATATAAAGGAACTCTAGAGGAAGAGAGGAACCAACAAAGATCTTGGGTGTCTTGAGAGGTTGGCAACCATTTGGAAACTTCAGGAGCCCTGAAGTTTATTTTTACCTAGCACACTTATGCCATATATCCGGAGCTGAGAGTAAGTCTAAGGAGCCTCAATCTAGTACACTGGTGTCAGCTGTGATATTGAGGCAGCTGGGAGACAGCACTCTGCTTGAGGAGTGGGACCTGCCTGAAACACATGGTCATCTCCTCTGCAAGATATTTGCCACATTCGGTCATGAAGTGAGATGGAAGGCCTAAGAGTAAAGCTCTAAAGGACAGAGGCCCCAGACATATACAAGGCTCTCAGCTGAAAGTCTCAGAGCCATTCTGAGGAAGAAAAGCCAAAAATTGAATATGCATTATGACTTCTGCATTCCAGCTCTAATCCAGCTCAGTCCCTGACTCTGTTCACTGTGTCTGCCTAGCAGATGCAAGGAAAACCCTTCATCTGGAGCCTATGAGTTCCTTTACACACAATATCCAGCATTAAATAAAATATTCTGGAAGTGAAAAGTGGAAAGAAGATTTGTCTTTTAGTCAAGAGAAAAAAACTAACAAATGATCCAGATATTAGAATCACCAGACAAGGAATTAAAAACGTTTTAATATATAAAAGATGGACAAAAAGATGAAAAACTGGAAAATTCCAACAGAATTAAAATCTATAAAACAGCCAAATTGTCATTTCAGAAGTATAAAAGCATTGTCTAAGAACTCATTAGATGAGTTTAATAAATCGGACATAGCATTGTAGTGCAAGTGGACTTAACGATAAGTCCCTGGAAAAATCGCCAAA